CCAGAAAGGCATAGCAGCAAGCTCACGCTTATAGTTCTCCTCAATACCACCCTCCTCCCAGTGCTTGCACTCCTCATCAACCTCCTTCTTGCCACTGACAAGATCGGCTGTCTCAGGGTTGACAAACTTGGTCTTTTTCAAGACCTTCCAGGCAATGAACAGTATAGCAGCATAAGCGTGGCAGAAGTAGCTGGTGACGAAACCCTGAGTGTTCCAGGGCTCGAACTTGTCGAAACCGATGAAGAGGAGGGCAGTGACACCGAGGAATAGACCGACATAGGCAGCCCAGGGGTTGAAGGGAGCGATGTAGTGCAGGGTAGACTTGTCCATGCCCTGGGCGTTGCGAGCGCGGTACCAGCCGATGAAGACGACAATCATCATGGTGTAGGTGGCGATGAGACCGGTGGTGGTGAGGTCGACGAACCAGAAGAAGACGGTGACGGAAGACTCGCCAGCAACCAGGAAGGTGATGCAGCTTATGAAGCTGACAGTGAGGACACAGTACATGGGAACACCAGCCTTGTTGCACTTCATGAGGAAAGCAGGGGCTTGACCATCGCGAGCAAGACCATAGAGAGTTCGAGAGGAGGAGTAGAGGTAGGCATTTCCGCAAGAGAGACCGGAAGTGAGGATGAGGAAGTTGATCAAGCTGGGGAGACCGTGGATGCCAAGGTTCTCAACTATATATTTGTTAGCATTGAGTTTGTGTGATCGAAGAGACGATATGACTTACTGCCAATGACCCAGGGAGAAGCAGCAGCACCAGCAGCGCTGTTCTCAATAGCACCAAGCAGACGCTTATCATCCGAAGAGCAGATGATACCAACAGCCAATACGCCAAGGACGTAGAAACCAACAAGTCGGTAGAAGATGAGCTTGGCCACTCGGGGAATAGTTCGTCGAGGGTTGGCGATTTCACCGGAGGACAGAGAGATCATATCGGGACCAGCAATAGTGAAACCAGCGTAGAGAACAACCTTCCACCAACCACAGAATCGACCAAGGTCTCCTTCGGCGTGGTAGGGTTGCATAGCCTTGCCGCCCTTCCAGTATCGGAATCCGTATGCGTCGCCCTTGGGGTTACCGCCGCACATGGTGATGAGGGTGATGAAGAGGAGACCGAAGAGGAGGATGACCTTGAGAGAAGCCATGATGAATTCAGCTTCACCATAGTACCTGAGAAGCATGTTAGAAATTTCCTCATCTGAAGTTTTGTGATGTGTACTTACTTGACAGCAACAACGTTGAGCAGGACGCAAACGACCATTGCCATTGCAACCCAAGCTGCAGGATTGATATCAGGAACCCAATATTGCATCAGAGTCGCCACAGCACTGTATTCGACACAAACAAGCATAAGGCCAGCGTAGAAATATGTCCATCCCATAGCAAATCCTATTCCATATTAGTTGAAGTTCTGTATCAATCATATACGAAACATACCAAGCGCAGGGTCGACGAAACGGGCAGCAAGCTCAAAGATGGAACCACGGATAGGAAGATACGAGCACATCTCGGCAACACACAAGTTGCAAGGCCAGACGAAGAAGACACCCCAGATCAAGTAACCGAGAACGACAGAGAGAGGACCAGCAGAGGAGAGAACACCACCGATACCAACGAAGAGACCGGTGCCGATGGAGCCACCGATGGCCATGAGCTGAACATGTCGAGGGGAGAGACCTCGTACGGTTCGGCCATATTCTCTATCGACGGAGTTGTGATCGATCAAGACACCAGGTGAAGTGTCTGAAACGTTGGGAGCCTCGACGGCTTTTGACTCGGGGTCTTCTTGATAACCCATGACGAAGGGTGGTTTAACAAAGACGAGATCAGATTTGAATACTCAATCTCTTACAAGAGTAGAACTCTAAGTGGAATGGAGATGAGGTTATGGGAGCAATGTCGTGGAGACACAAGCCTGGATATAAGAACATCTAGGAGGGGGAGATCACCCTTTAAGAATCAAGTTGACTGTAACCATGATCAAGGTTATGGATCATGAGAACCGGCCCGGTTTTCTGTAAGAGGAGCTCACCATGTCGATTAACATGGCAGAGCTATGCTATTCCCAATACCAGAAAGCCCAAGTTCCCCGATGTTGGATATGCGGAGGTGAGAAGGTATGTAGCGCTAGACCAAGCTCTCCACCGCGGTAACGGATATGCTTTTAGGTACAGGGGCATGATAAGCAATGCATTCAACGGCGTGTTAAACACTGCTGATCATCTAAACCAGCACAGAGGTGAAATCGAGCTCACCCCAACCGGGCCGGTTGCATCATCTCAAAATGGTAAGTACGGGCGACAGAGTGCCATTATGTGGGGGAATAGCAGAGGGCCATGACTCGGCCTTTTCAAGCGATTGTGTAGGATTTCCGTGTAAGTGATGGCTTGAGGGAGGATTATGGTAGTGTTGGGGGGAGCGCTAGAGATGTTGCCAAGACAGGCGAGACCAGGTGTAGCGAGAATTGGGGACCGATCCTTGTCTCTTTGGTATGGGGACTGCGGGTAATGGTTATCAAGTGTTTTGTGGGCGAGAGGAGAGAGAGATAGGCAGTTTCACGGCGTGGCCAAGACGGGACAAGAAGGGGAACCCACCGCGGTTAAAGCTTGGTTGATAGGTTGATAATGATGATTTATTCCCTTGATCGTACGAAGGAGAGTAGAGCATTGCAATGCGTAAGTTGAGAGAAAGTCGCTCAATGTTAACTAGTCCTCCCTGATAAGCCATGATCATCAAACACCATCAGACTATCCGTTCAGTGACATTGAGCTCCCCATTCTTCCATTACAAGACCTTCCCTTGAGTTTGGCTCAGTCTAGACGGCTATACCGAGCACCGTTACCCCGATACATCAGAACATCTCCAACAGCCCAGCTTCAGCGCGCTCCGAGGCAAACACAAACACTCCAACACTCGCGGCTCCGATGCAAGGTTCTTACCCCAGACAAGTCAAGTCAAGCCCATCTCGTACGTAATGAAATACAGCGGCTTTCGTACCGTATTTGCTCAACATCGTGTGGGGAAGTTCAGGTGCGGTACTCGGTACCGAAAAAGCGGTTACTTGCAGAACAAAGCAAAACTACCGCGCTAGACAAAGTCTCTTTTGCAGTGGCACGAGGAGAAATGCGGGGGAAGAGGGTAGAAACTTGACGCGGTTTTTAATTTTAAGCATGGGTTTAAGCGTGTATGATCCCGGTCTGGTCGGACTGTGGCCGATTTTATTGCGAGTCATTATTACGTGAGTGATATTGTGCCCAATTGATGTGTTCCTTTTCAGGAACAAACAAGAGAGGAGAATTGGAGAAAAGGAAAAGCTTGTCGACTGTAGTTTAGAGGGATATTCTGACCTGACTTACTGTCCGTCCTCTGATACGAACCCTGTAAGAAGATGGGTCTCTTGATTCTGTCTTCTTATCAGTAACACCCCTGACCGCGCCTAATTTGGTTGGAGAAGGGCAACTCTGGCAGAGATAAGAGAATGGAGAATGTGGAATTGTTCTGTATGCAGTCTAGAGTGAGCCTAATGCCAGACCCCAATTCAACCTCTGTATTTCTCCAAATCTGCAGCACATTATTTCTGTGAACGCCTTCACCTTGCTTATACTCAGCATCTGTTTTCCCCAGATATCTCCATCTGTCAAGATCTCTACTCCCCCGCAAGCTCCAGCAAACAAGGTAAAATCTCTCCAGATAAAAATCTGGAGAATCCTGAGTCCCGGGCTCGCGGGGCCCCACGAATATCGAGTCAGCAAACGTAATGAAAACTTGGGCACTGAATATCAAATGGCATCACTGACGTGCCATCTTTTTCTCTCAACGGACCAGCGGACAGCAATGAAACTGTGGGCACGGAATCACCCGGCCCCTCTTGTATCATTCTCATTTTTGTGTCTACAAATGTCTCCATTTTCAGTATTAAGAGGCTGAAAAAAGTCTGTTGCTCTCCCGGTTCCTAGCATCGGTATAACATCCCGGGTATTTACGTTCTCACGAACTACTGTAAGCCCAGCGCCACAAGACATGTATAGAACCTTTTCTCATCATCGTGAATGGGTAGAATTGTCTTCTAGAAGAGAATTGAGACAGACAGGAACCGGCATCTGATCGAGCTAGGGGTGCTTGTGTGTGTGGAGAACAAGTGCAATCCTTGTCACGATAACAAAACCTCAAGCCGAAATCGTAGCTGAAAATAAGCTTGAAAACTAACACATGAGCCGTCGGCAGTCTGGTATCAGACTATTTCTTAGTCGTGTTCTCTTACCCATTTCTTCGAATGAACCGGCCCGGTCGACGAGACTGATATTTCGGCATCAGACGTCTTCAACGTGAGGATCCACCCCCAGATACCAGCTTCATCTTGGCGGTTGATGCCAAGATGATAGGTACAGTCAATCGTCTGATTACATTCGATGCTGAATCATGGATACGTATCTGAATGTGATCGGTCATCAGTGCTATGGATAGATGGACGCTCTTACGATCAGTGATTGTCCCTTGATTAACAAGGAGCGTTGCTAAGAGAGATGATAGACAGACTGGATGTCAGTATCACGAATGTCACATTAAATTTCCTCTGAAAATTGCACAAACGCAACTTTTGATATTTTATTACCAGTTCACGCTTTCATGTCTTCCCAACCTGTATCCCATACCCTGCCTTTTCCTCATCAAAAGAAACGCTCCGTATGCCTCAATAACATAAACCAGTCTCAACAAAAAGACTCCTTGACTAATGTCAAATGACGCCTGCGCTCCAAGATATGTACCAATGCCAGGAACGTCAACATGATCACCATTACCCGATGCTAGCACTAACCGGCACCTCCATTGATCCTACTCTACCACGCGGCATATGCATTTGATGCCAATCAATGCCCCGAGAAGCTAAACTGCCACACCTGTTCTGGACCCAAAGCCCCAGATTCAGGGCTGGTACCCCATCCTGGAGTGGCGTAGTCGTGATCGTTTGAAAGACTCAGCGGTCTGGGTGTGCTCTAAAGATACCGTGTCTTGAGCCACTCTTCGTCTCGCAGTCCTAGATTCAGCCCGTTCTGTGTCCACCATCGTCGAACTGCACTCTGGTCTCCTATGCTGTCCTCAAGAGCCTCTTCGATGTTGCACGTCCGGAATTCGACCATCTGCTTTCGACCCTCCATACCCTCGAGCTCTCCATGAGCAAAGTTACGCCACCACTCAAGCACCGCTAAGTGTTTGAATATGGTCGGTGAAACGAGAACCTCGGCGTCAAACACGAGCTTGTCATCTCCTTTCAGCCGTCTCCAGGTTTCTAAAACCTCGACTTGGCCCCAGCGGCTTGCCATCTTGGCGACGCTGTCACCATGAGCAGCAGGGATACCTGAAGCGTCCCACCACCGCAACACATCAGCTTGTCCATGTTGTGTTGCCCATAATAGTGACCGGCCCGGTCGTAGAACGACCTTGTCGTCCTGTGCTGCTGCATCGCGCCACCACTCGAGAACCAACAGATGTCCATTCCCGCTAGCCTGCTCCAGCGCAGACTCGGTATATCGCATCATCAATCCAGACCGACGCCACCACCAGTCTAAAACGCGAACATGCCCAAACTTAGAGGCACCATCGACAGCTTCTGCGTCGTATACATGGCGGTCTCTGAACCATGGACTCTGTTTCCAATAGTCCAGCACATCAGTGCGTGGATAATAAGCGGAGGCTTTAGTTGGCAACGTCGTTCCATCAAATGCTTTGAAAAGATCTGGTCGGTTGGCTTCCATATACGCCAACACGTCAATAAGACCAAATTTGATCACTAGTTTGATAACCAGTGCTGATATATCGTGAAATTCTGGTGGAGATTGTGATATCTTTTTACATATCGCCGCGGAGTTGCAAGTCAGTACTGTCCACTCGAGCTCGTGCTCGTACACCTTCAACGGATCGTTACGGTCTCTGGGCTGACTTGTCCATGGTGAGGGCATCGGTAGGTTGGTGTACATTCCTAGGGCCTTCGCAAGTTCCCAGTCTCCTGCATAATCCAGGATAATAGTCCAGATTTCCGGCGGTAGCTTGGACTGAACTGTTACGTCCGCATTATCAGTCATTGCCATTCCTGTGGCGACCTCAACATCTCTTCCCAGTCCTAATAAGTCGGCTTGGTTCTTTATAATGCCCAGCACTTCGTTAAAACCATTCCAGTTAGGTACTCGTTTCGGGTTTGGCGATCCTTCGTAATGCCATAATATCGGCGTCACCACACGTATCCAATTCCATTTCCGATGCAATTTGCTCAAGTGCTTCTTGGTCATTGGGTTCGACCACATATGTGTGCTCATGCCAGGGACCAAGACAATGCTCTTTTGTGTATCCCATCCTCTGAGCACTTCGCCGAGGAATGTATCTGTGACGCCTGCCAGCATCTTTGCGATGCTGTCCGCATCAAGTGGCACGCAGACCATCAGATCTGCCCACTCTACTAGTTCGAATGCCTGTTGCCGATAGAATTCGATATCGTCGGCCCGATCGCCTGCTCCCAGCGCCAATCCCCGGTTCTGCATAACAATAATCGTTTGTGTTAATCGCGGGACTACATCGTCGACGATCGCTCGCGCTTCAATCTGTGGATTTTTCGAGAGGCGCACCACGAGTGCTTGCGCCCAGGATGTATCGCGGGGTCCAGTGGCGGCGACGAGAAGGCGGAGTTTTCGGTTGCGGGCCATATCGTGGAGAGACGAGGTAGAAGCAAGAGCGGGACTCAGCCGCGGCGAAAAGGAATGATGGTGTGCCATGCTGGAAGATGACCCGGATCCAACATGGTTTGCATGAGATAGATAAGGAGGGCAAGCGGTGAAGTTTGAAGGCGAAGGGTTGTGACGGGGCATCAAATCACTGGTTCAACGAGATGCGGGATCACGTGGCGGTTTCTGTTTGATGCGATAGTCTCGAGAGTACGTAGAGAAGAAGTGGTTGTTTTCGATTGGAGTGTAATAGTCGGTCGTTCGAGTATAAAAATCCTAAGTCGTCAATCAGTCGTCGGGTTGAAGATTGCTTAGTTAAGATCGGTCGTGCGATTTGACAAATGATGCTCTCGGAAGGGTCTGAATGGGGCGACGACTAGGAAGGCAAAGAAAGAAAGAACATCGAGTCTGCTCCAGTTTTATCCTGGTAAGGTTCCGGTGCAAGCCGGTAATAGAGGGGCAAGGGGCAGTCTTTTGTCTTTATAGACGCGGAGTGATAAGAGCTGACATGACGTCGAATTGATTGTATTGAGGAATTGAGAGGGTGGAATGGAATTCGGAGAATTGTTCGACTATTTGAGGCTATTATTTCTCATCAAGTTCTAAAGTTATCATGTCATGAATCACATCATAAGAAAGCCAAAAGTTTATCCTCTTCCCCAGTTATAACCCCGGCATATTGTCATCAGGATCGATACAATCTCACCATAAAATAACAAGTCTCTTGCCTGGAATATTTCTTGAACCCCGAGAGCAGCTGACGGTTATGTCTAACTTTGCTCATCATGACCTCTACAACTCAAGCCCATACACATTTTAGAGTTCAGCCTCTGTAAATCTATTTCGAATTCAGCTCAATCAAAAGCGTTCAAGACGACATCAATCACATGACCCAGCCTACCTTTAGCCTTTTGGTATACAAGTATTCTAGCTCCCGACTGCTCCACAACTCGACACCCGAAGATGGAAAACTTTGAACCGCTTTGTTGACTTTTGATCTTAGTCAGAGACTTTTTGATCTTCCTTCTGATCCTAACAAACCTCTCCCTCTTTTGTGCATCACTTTCAGCTTGTCCCCGGCGTTGATCATCGACCTGAATCACATACCTGAACTTCCCGATCCTGACCCGAGGCGCTGCGCTCACGGTTATTTATTCCTCGCCGCCAAAAATTCTTCGCCCCGCTCTTTTCTCTTCCCTTCTTTGACAATGTTGGACCAAATGGCGAACGAAATCAAACTCATCTCGGGGAGCTCCCACCCGGAGATCAGTGCCAAGGTCGCCAGTCGGTATGTTATTCTCATTTTGCGCTCCTCCCCCAATCTCTGGCGGTGACGCTGCGCCTGTAACTGAGGGTACAAGTTGCTGATATAACTCAGACTCGGCATTGATATCGCAAACACTATGAGCTTGAACTACTCCAACCGAGAGACTAGTGTTTCTATCGGAGAGTCAGTCCGTGATGAGGATGTGTTTATTCTTCAGTCTACTGCTCCTGGAGATGTCAACGATGGTCTTATGGAGTTGCTCATCATGATTCATGCTTGTCGAACTGCCTCGGCCAGACGGATCACCGCTGTTATTCCCAGCTTTCCTTATGCGCGTCAGGACAAGAAGGACAAGTCACGAGCTCCCATCAGTGCTAAGCTGATTGCCAACATGCTCCAGGTTTCTGGATGCGTACGTGTTTCACTGACATAATGTCTGACAACCTACTGACCATAACTCAGAATCATGTTATCACAATGGATCTTCACGCCTCGCAAATCCAGGGCTTCTTCAACGTCCCCGTGGACAACCTTTACGCTGAACCCTCCGTCCTTCGTTGGATCTGTGAGAACCTCAGCGTCGACAACTGTGTTATCGTTTCTCCCGATGCCGGTGGAGCCAAGCGTGCTACATCTCTTGCTGACCGCCTGAACACCGGCTTCGCTCTCATCCACAAGGAGCGACCCCGACCTAACGTCGTTGGTCGCATGGTTCTTGTTGGTGATGTCAGCGACAAGGTCGCCATTCTTGTTGACGACATGGCCGACACCTGTGGCACAGTAAGTTACGCGTAACCTCTTGTAAGTGACACAGGCTAACCCCATTATAGCTTGCCAAGGCTGCTGCCACAGTCAATGAGCACGGCGCCAGGGAGGTGTATGCGATTGTTACCCACGGTATTCTGAGTGGTAAGGCCATCGATACCATTAACAACTCATGCCTCTCTGGCCTCGTTGTCACCAACAGTAAGTAACTCAATATGTGCATCTCAAAGACCTTTGCTAACCTTTCCCAGCTGTTCCTCGTAAGCTTTAAACCCGGCTTTGTGCGTGCGTTGCGTGTTCACGCGGTTTGCTAACTTCAATAGTGGGTGACAAGATTGAGCGATGCCCCAAGCTCAAGGTCATTGATGTGTCCGGAACACTTGCTGAGGTATGATACATCACATCTTGCAGGTGCATCGTGTTACTGACCGAAAACTCAGGCTATTCGACGAACTCATAACGGAGAATCCGTGTCTTACCTCTTCAACAACGTCCCCGTCTAAAGTCCTTAGATACTAGAAAGCAAGGTGAAAAACAAGGTTATGGAGTTGGTAGGTTCGGTCGTTTCGTTGAGGCCGCAGTTGCGAACTAACAGCCAGCAAGCGGCGTCCTTTTATTAGAACTGAGGCTTGGGCCAAGTCGGATTTTCAGTCATTTGGGTAAAACTTCCAAAACCCACAAAAAGAGATTTACTAGACTATATGTTGCACGAATTTGCTAGAAACTGGATCCCATGTTCAGATGCATGTGCGATGTTGGCTCGACGCACATGTAGTTCTGTTCTGCGCGAATTTGGATTGATTACAGGTTTCCTTCTGTTCAATCATTTAGTAGTACGTATGAATTGAGTTTTAGGATTCAATTGATACATCGACTTGAATCTTGATGCTGAGTAAAGAACTTGTAAAGAATCTCAAGATTTAGCTATTGAAGGGTTCTTGCGGGATGCTTTACGGGAGACCTGCCAGTTTCTTGAGACAAGAATACTTTGAGAAGATAGATACGACAGGTTATCTATTTGACGAGGAAATCTTTTCCTCGCGATGAACCCAGTTTCCATTTGTCGTCATGAGGTCTGTTGAACTTCTTGGAAATGGTGTTTGATGGAGGAGATGCTTGAACTGCCGCTCACATTGGAATAGTACAGTTATCAGTGCTCGACAGGTCATTGCACTGTCTTTTATGATACTATATAGGAGAAGCAACATAAAAAAAACATATAAAAATGAATAAGTCTTAACGAGATTGAAGAAGTCATGATGGAGGCGCATCTTTGCATGATTACAAGGGTCGCACTTCCAAAGCCCCACGTGAATAGCAGGCGGTGAGTAATTCTGCCGCCTCATCTACAAGGGACACATCACTGCATACGAGCATCAACGCATCGTAAAGAGAGATACATCATCGAACAACTAAAGAATTTGGGCTCTTCAGCTGCATGGACCTGCAGAGAACTCACATGCTCTGTTCTGAGCTAAGAACTCGCGCGGATTGCCCAAGATGACAACGCAACTCCTTGCCACGGAGCTGGCCAATCTCATACAGGAGAGCAAGAGGAAGCATAATGATTTGCGACAAGTGAGTCGCCATAATCGCATCCGTGTGGAATATTAGCTTATTGAATACAGGCTGCAGAGAAGTCGTTAGAGGAGTTGAAGAACTTGAGAAATCCTTCTGAACAAACAGCACCTGAAGGTCCGCAAGCTACCCCCTGTTAGTGGAAGCTATATCTGACTCGCAGACAGAGCTATCTCAAAAACCCAACTTTGTTAATCCATTCATTATCGCATGCGGCACCAAAAATGCCAAGTTTACCGCCATCGCTATTGTCTGCCTTCAACGTCTCATCGTTGCGCAAGCTCTTCCGCGTTCAAAGCTGAACCAAGTACTGGAGGCCTTGATGCAAGCTACCTCAGCTGGTCTGGATGTGCAGCTCAAGATCTTGCAAGCACTACCTTCACTCGTTCAAAATTACGCATCGGATCTTAAGGGGAACTTGTTGGTGACGACATTGAACATTTGCTTTACTCTTCAGAGCAGCAAAAATGCCATTGTGAACCATACATCAGCAGCGACGCTCCAGCAACTGGTCGTGTCTGTGTTTGACAAAGTTGTCGCTGAAGACAAGAAAGCAGGCGACGCGCCTACAGCAAACGATGCTGAGTATTCGGAAAATCATCCTGCAGCTACCGATGCCTACCGGATCTTTAACGACCTGTGCCTTATGACGGAAAACCAACGACCTGAGTTCATCCGCGTTTCGGGACTTCCACAGACTTTTGGACTTGAACTCATTGAATCTGTCATCACAAATCATGCCACCGTCTTCAGCAACCACCCCGAGCAAGCTCAGATTCTGCGAAGCAGAGTTATGCCACTCATCATTGGGGCTTTGAAAGGGAAACCGAACTTTGCGACCACAGTACGCCTTGTGCGCATTCTGTACACTATGCTGCGTAGGCACATCGGCATATTGCCATCAGAATGTGGTGAGGCGCTAACAGTTCTAACGCAAATTCTCGATCAAGATGAAACCGTCTGGAAGAGAGCACTGTGTATGGAAGTTTTCCGTGGGATCTTTGCAGACCATGCCCTGCTCAGACGAATCTACGCAATGTTCGATGCCAAAGAAGGGGAGAAGGATGTCCTCAAGCCATTGATTGCCACTTTCGTGCGCTTAAGCACAGAAAAGCCTGCTGTAATTGGACTCGGACATTCATCGTCACTCCCTACAACTAGCTCGAACACAAATGGCTCTTCTGAGCAAGCCATCGCTGAAGCAAGTGGCATGACTGGTTTGATGACAGGACCGGTCGGTGCAGAGACGACAACTACGGGTATCAGTACCCAGTTTAGCTCGGTTCGTGTTCCTTGCATTGATCAACTCGATAAGACGGAAGCGCCCACTATACCGGAGTCGTATCTCTACAGTCTGGTATTAGCCTGTATATCGTCTGTATCTGATGGTCTTGCGAAGTTCATACTACCTCTTACAGTCCCGAATGAGACGAGAAACCGAAAGAGAACTTCTCGGCAAGAATTTGGTCGTGATTCACCGGCACCACCGTCTGAGCAAGAGAGTACTCCACCCAGAGGGAAGATGGAAAGGTCAGCGTCTTTTAAGAAGAACCCAGTTCCGCTGAACCCGCTTTCTTTAGAGGATCATCCTCTCCATTCTGAAGTCAAGATCTGTGCTACAATTGTGGAGGAATGCTGGCCTGCTATTCTCGCGACTTGCTCTACCTTCTTATACGCTGCGCTCGACTCCGAGTATTACCACGGACTAGTCCGTGCCTTCCAACGATTTGCCCACGTCGCTGGCTTGTTGCAATTATCAACCCCTCGGGATGCTTTCCTCACAACTCTGGGTAAAGCAGCCGTCCCGCCCAATGTGCTCACAGCTTGCGTCAATGCTGGCCAGCCTCGACCACAGACACCAAGCACACCAACCGACGGCAGTCTCTTTAGTAACGCCCGGGGACTTCTGAGCGTTGACAGCCTGACACCCACTACCCCTACGGCTGACAAAGGACGACAGGCTTCATTTGACGCCTCTGTTGCTTCTTTAAATACTCGAAACTTGCTATGTCTTCGGGCACTTCTGAACTTGGGCATAGCGCTGGGTCCAACTTTGGCAGGAGCTTGGAGTATCATTCTGGAGACACTTCAACAGGCTGACTTTGTCCTTTTCGTAAGCGGAAAGTCTCCTGGCAGGACACCAACTATGAACCGAGGACCGGATGCAGGTGGTGACAGTGAAGCTGCAACGTTGATGGCCAACTTTGGCTCTGAGGTTCGTGCGGTTGAAACAGCGGCATCGAGACTTATTGAAAGCACTGTTGACTTCCCCAACGAGTCATTTCTGAAAGTCGTGGCGGCTGTCTGTAGTTTGCTGACACAGAAGCCAGCTGAGCAGCCTGAGACCACCACTCAGCCTCAGACACCGTCTGATGGTCAACAGCTTAAGGCTCCCGTGGTACAGGGTCGTAGGTTTTCTGGTCAGCAAATGAGTTCTGGGTCAACTCAAGAAGATCAATTCGCACTTGCTAAGCTTGGAGAACTTGCCACCATCAACATTGAGCGACTATTAGAATACAGCCCGGAGAAATCTGGCTGGGAGGTGTTGACTAATGAGTTGATCGACACTCTCACCTCTTCCTCCATGAACTCATCTGTCAGAACCAGGGCAGCAGACATTCTTGTGAAACTGGTTCTGGAGGCTGCTAATGTCACATCTTCCCTGCCAGAGGAGGCTCGTGGGGAGATTCAGCTCCGGTTCTTTGAGGCCCTTCGCAGGTCACTGGCGCCTCTCCTTAAAGGTGACCGAGAAGTTTCTCTTGCGAGCCATTCAACAGACATCGATATTCATAAAATTATCCTTGATGGTCTTCAAAGTATTATCGAGGGCAACGGAGAAACACTGGTCAAGGGATGGGACATAGCCTTTGAGATCATTGGTACCATCTTTATTACGAGGGAATTCGATCCTGCCTATCGTCGTGGCTCGGTCGCCAACCCAATTCTGCTTGACACCCGATCAGCAAGACTTATCAGGTCTTCTTTCAACTCTCTTCAGCTCATTTGCTCGGACTTCCTGGCTTCGCTACCAAACTCATGCTTCTTGATCCTGGTAGACAATCTCTACAAGTTCTGTTCGCAAGATGACGACCTCAATATCGCATTGACTGTAAGTTGTCAGTGACCCTGTTAGGGCAATGATACTAATTCCCTCTAGACGGTGACGTTTTTCTGGGTGTTGTCGGACTTTCTCTCTGCGAAGAACGAGTCCCTAGCCATCACTGCAGACATGATGCAAAACACTGAGCTTTCCGATCTGGAGAAAATGGCAGCTGACCATGGTCACAAGAACTCTGATGCAGCATTGTGGATGTTGCTTCTGCTACGACTGACCAATGTCACCACTGATGACAGACTTGAGCTTCGCAACAGTGCAATTCAGACTTTGCTCAGGATCTTTGATGCCTACGGTGACCGACTCAGTCCAGAGTCTTGGTCGATATGTGTCAAATCAGTTGTCTTCAAGCTATTGTCATCGATCGAGCAAGAGATCAAAGTTCTACAGACAGATGAGGAAGAAGATACCGATGACAGTGACCGGGCTGAATGGACTGAGACGGCTGTTGTGGTTCTCAACGGTATTTCCAGCCTTCTCGCTAACTACCTTGATATTCTTACCGGACACCCCTCATTCGATCACCTATGGCAGGAGTTACTTTCTCATCTCACCACTCTCCTTGACTTTCAAGTCCTTGATATTAATACCGCGACATTTAAAGCTCTTGCTCATGTTTTGTCTCAGACTAATAATGAGGGCAAGTCTGTCTTCAGCAAGACAGCGATCGACATTGCATGGGATCTCTGGGCAAGAGGAGTCCCGATATCCAAACCTGTCGATGAAAAGGCCGAAGACAACCAAAATTGTCTCATTGCATATGTATCTGCCTTGACGGAGATATATCGACTTGTGCAGGAAGACCTGGAGGTGAAACGAGTTGGCAGAATCTTAAGTCTCCTTCGTGAGACCTTGGACGAAGCTTCGGCTGGGAATTACGTCCAGGACATCGAATATGTGACGCCTTTACAAGCACATATTCTCGAAGCTGTCCAAATGATCCGAACAGACATTGAAGGAGTCCCATCGGCTATGATCACCCAAGTTGCGGATTTCGTGGTCTTACCATTTGTTCAGACCAGCCCCTCAAAGCCAGGACCTAAACGCACTTACATTGCGCTTTCGAAGGCGAGCATGAAGACCCTTGAGAACCTTATTCTCGAGCACTCGAAGGACTCGGATATCTACCGCAGCAACTCCTTCTCAGAGGCTCTAAAGGCTTTGTGCAAGCCCATTGAACTAAAATACGGCTTTCCTACCATTACTAAATCCACTCAGCCATGGAGGCTAGCTACATCTACAGCACTTACGATCCTAGAAGCGACCCTGTCGCAAATCACCAGCCTCGAACTGCCAAACGGAGTTGTCCAGAACATCTGGACGACAATCGCCGCCATCGCTGATGGTATCATGAGCGCAGATTGTAGTATTGCTCCTCCAGGAACCGACTTCGCAGGCGACGAAGAGTTCGACATCACATCTTTCCATAAGCTGCGAGAACTCATTATTCCCGCACTTGGAGCCGCAGCTGTTTCTGAGAAGGCTCGCAAGGCTTACGCTGAAAGCCTTTTCAAGACTTCAATAATTCATGCTCCATCGCCAGACGAGGAGTCGATCATCAACGGCACACACGAGAAAGGCCTGTCGGCACTCTATGCTCCTCGTGCAGGACGAACAATATCGGTATTGCCGACCAGGCGCGTGAAGATGGCTTATGTCGCTTGCGAAGTGCTATTTGCTCTGGTTGCTGCGAAAGATGAGCCAACAATTGTTATCCAACCTCCAACGCCCAAATCACCGAACCCAAAGCAGGGCCGCTTTGCTGAGTCACCCGTTACTCTTCACGCTCGTATTGCCAGCACAGTTGCGCCATTCCTCATCCTTAGATGCGCATTGACACTGAGGGCTTACATCGCTGATCAACCTCTCCGAGGCAAGATGCCCCAACCCCTGAGCCAACGAAAGGAATTATTGTGGATTCTTCAAAAGCTGGTTGAGTTGAAGAGTGATAAGAGCGCCATTCCGGAATTGAATAATATTGAGAGCGACGAGAGGAAGCATTTGTTAAGGCTATATCCTCTTATTGTTCGAGCATCTGGTGTTGTTGGGGACGAGAAAGTTGGTAGTCTTTTGAGAGAGGCATTGGAGGTTGTAGGAGATGAACTGGGCTTTTAAGCGATAGACTCTTGTTCAGACATGAAAATTATGTACTTAATTAAATAGCGTTATCTGAGGAGTCTGCAATAGACGTATGCATAGCAACTTGAGTTCCTAAGCCAATCCCGTCTTATGGAGGGGTACTTCTAGAAGAACACCCCACCAACCCACCATCTTCAACGCGGGGCACCAAATTCAGATTCAGAAAAATTCAATCTCGACATCAAGACCAAGATACGTCGACACCATGGGAAAGTCCTCAAAAGATAAGCGCGACGCCTACTACCGACTTGCAAAGGAGCAAGGATGGCGCGCTCGAAGTGCCTTTAAGCTTCTACAATTGGACGAGGGTAAATCATCCTCAAGATACAGCAAGGGACCATAGCTAATATCGTCATCTAGAATTCGACCTATTCGCCGATGTCACTCGAGTCGTCGACCTCTGCGCCGCACCCGGAAGTTGGTCGCAAGTACTATCCCGCGTACTGATCAAGGGCGAAAAGTTTGGAAGGGCTGCTTGGCAGGATAAGGAAGCCAAGTTTCGACAGCAGATGCTGGGAATTCTACCCAAGGACAGCGACAGCGAGCAAACAACGGAAACCGAGCAGATTCAGGAGCAACAGAAGGAGACTACAAAGCCCAGAGAAGATGTTAAGATTGTGTCAATCGATTTACAGCCTATTTCACCACTCGCGGGTATTACAACACTCCGAGCCGATATTACACATCCTGCGACGGTCCCTCTGCTACTCTCAGCTCTTGACCCCTCTTATGATCCCAAGACTGCTGGCACACAGGCCTCGCACCCGGTTGATCTCGTTCTGAGCGATGGAGCTCCTGACGTGACAGGTCTTCATGACCTCGACATCTACGTTCAATCTCAACTACTCTTTGCCGCCCTGAACCTCGCACTCTGTGTCCTCAAGCCCGGAGGCAAGTTCGTCGCCAAGATCTTCCGCGGAAGAAACGTCGACGTTCTCTACGCCCAACTCAAGATCTTCTTTGAAAAGGTCATCGTCGCCAAGCCCCGCAGCAGTCGCGCAAGCAGTGTGGAAGCTTTCATTGTATGCATCAACTTCCAACCCCCCGCTGGTTTCCGAGCCAGTCTCGAAGAGCCCCTCGGCGTTGGTGGACGATTGGAGGAGATGCTCAAGGAAAAGGGTGACGTTGACATGCAGGACTCGACGACTAAGGATGAGGGTGTCGTGGAAATGGAGGTTTACGATGAGACGACCGAGGACACGGAGAGAAGCACTCGATGGGTTGCACCGTTCATTGCCTGTGGAGATCTATCCGCCTTTGACTCCGATGCATCATACCAGCTCCCTGAGGACTACGTCTCTCTAGATCCCGTCCAGCCACCCATTGCTCCCCCGTATAAACGCGCCATTGAGATGCGAGCCGCCATGTCCGGATCACAGCGCTCAACAGATTTTCCAAATTCTCACACAAAATGAATAACCCAGCAAGAGAGTTCTGAGTAAATGCATCGCTAGATAACAAAAACGCAAAAGCAAAAGCATATCAATGCTTGGGCATGGGTTTCTCGGCTGGGCCGGCCATTTCGAGCATTACTAGCCCGGCTGATGGTCCCTTTTCGAACTCTTGAGCACCTAATTCCCTTTGATACAGACGAGCTGCGGCTTGGTCGTGCGTCATGAGGAGGAGGCCACGCATGTGCTTCCATTCGTCGACTATCTCTTTGAGAGCCTTCATCAGCCATGATGCTAAACCTCGCCGCTGGAATTCCTCGAGGACAAATACGTCTGTGAGATAGGCTAGAGTCACATAGTCGGTCACTACGCGAGCGAAGCCGACCATTTTATGCGGAGAGCCATCTTTCGGTTGAGCGATGCCATTTCCTGTGCCATTGTTAGAAAAGGCAGAGCTCAGGATCGGTTGCATTGCAGTCGACTTACTCTTCATCTCTTCGGCGGTCTGTGGAGTATAGTACACCGCCAAAGTCAAGCAGTTATCCAGCACCCTTTGGAGTTGTCCTTGTGGTAAGGGGCTGCTCCACCAGTTGTCATCGAGAGACTTGTTGAAAGTTTGGGGACACAGATAGGACTTGTCGTTTGTAAGGAAGAAGTTATCACGGTACCAGAACCGAGGAGCGCCCTCAGCTTGGTTCAAAGAGTCGTGGGAGCCCATATTGATGAATATACGAGTTAACGATACTGTCTTCGAGTGTCAAAAGATTGTTGTTTGGTGACGGTTCCCGGGGGCTTGGATTGAGTCTGTAGGATACAAGAGATGATGACACTGCTTGGATCGAAAGCAAGCAGGACTTTCGTGTTACTCAATGGGCAAGAATCGTGACAATGATGTAGTCGTCAGCCCAAAGGGTGTACGGCTAGCGGCGGCTTCCTTGGCGGGGAAATCAGGGCGTGTGATCGTGAGTTTAGTCAACGATGTTTGACTCGTAGAAGAAACGGTTGGTCCAAGAAAAGGTCATGTGGTAGCGGGTAGATAAGATTCCAAGTTTGTGGAGGGACAACAAAGAATCTGGGGTAAAACAAACAAAGCCAAGTTCTTGCTGATCAACAAGTTTCGATGAATTGGGGAGCTTGGAGATAAGAACTCTACGAACTACTATGAATTCATGGCTCCGTGTCATGTTTTGCTGACATCTTATATGCATCTCACAAAGCAAGGCACAGATCCAATGTATCGTATCTACATGTTTCACGCAAGGCTAAGACGCCCATTGAAAGCTAGATCTTGTCATTTTACACCGCGCATTGGTTGGTGGGCCTATCAGCTTCAACGCCCTATTGCTCGTCGTGGTGGAACCCCGGGATCTACGGCGGAGGCGGGGGGAGGGTGACTACACCCGTCACGGGAGGTCGGCGGAATTCTGAAGATCAGCGGAATGGGTATAGATGGGTAAAGGCGGCCGAGGGAGGATGTATAAATAGGCAAGCATATCCGAGATGTATTTTCTAAAAGACCAGGTCTATATATCTAAAGCATTCCGGCGTACATGGCGGCGCCGGCGAGAGCGAGGAAGGCTCCGGCTGTGGGCATGACGGCACCGGCGGTGGAAACGGTAGAGGCTGGGGTAGCAGCGGCGTCGGTCTCGGAGCTGGAGTCGGAGTGCAAAGCGGAGTGAGAATCGGATCCGGAGGCGGAACCGGCATCGGCCTCGGCTCCGGAAGAAGCAGAGGGAGTTGCGTAAGTAGCAAGAGTGGTGATGGTCTTTGTGTCCTTGGCCTTATCGGTAGAAGTCTTCTCATCATCCTTGCTCTTAGTCTCAGTCTCAGTCTCGGTCTCAGCCTCAGTGGTTGAAGCACTCTCCTCAGTCTCGGTAGTAGGCGCCGCAGTAATAGTAGCAGACTCGCTCACATCCTCCTCAGTGCTTGTAGGAGAATCACCAGTCTCTTCAGGAACAGCACCACCGAGAGTCTTTGGGTTGATGAAGAGAGGAGAGTAAGTCGCGGTGCCAACGTAGCCAGGGCATCCAGGAACAGTTGTCTTGGGAGGAGCTCGGCCACCGCCACAGTCGAGAAAGTCGCACAGCTCGCCCGTGTCAGGGACGTACCAAATTCGAGACGCGTACATTCCATTGGCGTTGCTGAGAACCGTGTCGTAGCTGGTGCATCCTGCAAGATCGGTCCTAGCCAGGGCTGGGACAGCGGCGATAAGAGCCACAGTGAGGAACTTGGCGACCATGATTAACGAGTGTATAGAATTAAAAATACCGTGTAGTTAAGTCTTAACGAGTGACTGTGATTAATGAATGAATACTCTATCCTCCCTCTCTTCCTTTCTGTTCATAGGGGTAAGACAACCCTTTTAAAGCGCAGGCTCTGGCCCTATAAGGCTAGTAACCTATTCCCGGCGTTAATCACCAGCACGGCCCCATCGCCAAGCGAAACAGCGGCCGACTCGGCCCTGAGATGCCGGGAATTAGGGATTAACAACGAATTGTAGGCCTGGCTTCACTGGAATCGCGCTATAATGTCTGGTTTAGAGTGGGTGGGCTCATTTCCATCCGCGATCCCATGTTCGGATGTTTCTTCTTTGGGTTGAGGGATTCTCGCTTCGACTATCTAGCAGGCCATGCTTAAATGCGATGAAATGGAACCGAATGCCCCTTGTTGGTCGCTTATGTATACGCTCTCAGGAGTCCTTGAATGTGCTTCAGTTGAGATAACTTTAGAATAGACTGAAACTGAAACCACTAACAACATCGAACCGTTTGTCTAGTGTATGACACACATCACTCTTCCATCGTGCTATTCGGCACCAAGCTATCCGTCGTTAGGGACGGGTTTGCTCTTTGTTGGTTATATCATAGATCAGGTGGGTATACGACACCGAGGCCTGTATTGGTCTATGGGCTTTAAGGTATTCTCTTTGGATAGAACTTGCAGTGGCTCGGCCTTTGCATATTAATACTTCATGCTAATAATGGCCACCGAGTTCCTTATAATAACACAGGGTCTATAGGTATCCAGCAACTCTCCAGTATTTTCAGTCCGAGACTGTAATGCCAGAATCCTCCAACTTGTCACACAACTTCTCAATCGCCAAGTCACGATCTTGAACCACTCTGCTGGCCTCTTCAACCCTCCCAGCACGCTTGAGAACTTTGCAGTAGAAATCCAACGAGTTCACAGTCCAGTCGGACCATTTTCCAAATACCTCCATACTCGTCACCACAGATCTCAGTGCTGACTCAATAGCACCATCTGCCCCCTTTTCCGCTTCATCGATCCTTGAGAACAGCATATGCAGCGATGGCATCATCCTCTCGCTCTTGTACTCAACGTCTTTGATCTCTTCTGCCGTTCTACGCGCTTCATTGTACTTTCCCGATCCCAAATATGCATCTGCCAGTTGCATCTTGAGATTGATATGATCCTTGCATCGATGTTGGTTTTGTAACTCTGCAGCCAATACAAGTCCACGGCCCATATTGGCAACTTCTTCGGGACTCATGAGTTTGTAACGGAGAAGTCGCCAGATAGTGTCAGACATCATGTCTTGTATGATTGGGTAAACTTTGCCGAGAGCTTCGTAGATCATGTTGATGTATGCAAGAATAGTCGACTTGGCATGAGCCACGATACCCGTTGGCCCAAGCTGCAGCATGACTTGGAGTAGCAGACGAAGTGGGTGTGAAGAGCCGGCCCAAGGAAGATCCTCTGAGACATTGTAAAGAGAGTTCAGAAGCCATTGAGCCACGCCCGGCCGATTTGTAGCGAAGAATAGAACCGAGGTGTATACGAAGGTGAATATCAATGGGTCTTGACGCGTGAGCTGTTCATGGGACTGCTTAATGAAGTGCTGTAGGAATCTGATTGCTTCACCCTGCTTTTCTTCTCTTAAAGCCAAGGACGCTGACATGACAGAACTACACCAAGCTGGAACATTGTCCTCGTTCTTGAAACCGCTCTTGGCGTCTCTAGGCCACAGATTGTGCTCTGACGACCCTCTCACGTAGGTATTGAGCAGATAGAAGCGATATTCTTGGGTAAGGAGATCGACTGGTGGTGTAAGTGACATTGGTGGGGCAGTACTGTCGATTGGCACCTCGCCGATCAGTGGTTGCAGAAGAGTTTCTAGAATTTCTCGACGCTTGTTCTCTGGTTGCCTACGATAATATTCTTTGAGTTTGTCGACATTCGTTGTGATGGTTTCAGTGCTGCGTATGCATGCTACACTGCGACCCCTTGTCATGTTCTTCTTGAGGTTCCACTCAGTAAATCGCAGCTTATACATCTTCTCACTATGTACTTCCATTAGAAGGCACCACCGACATACAGAGTTGATACTGACGTAGCTTTGAATCCATATTCCAGAAGCATGTGCGACATAAGTCTTGCCAATGACATGTTCCGCTTGATGTATAAGTCAGTTATCGTCTCACGATAGTGGTCCCAGTCGTTAGCGGATGGGATTACCAAGCGGCGACGAGTGGCACTTGAAGCTTCCATGACGACAATGAGTGAAGCCAAAACTTTGGGTAACTATGCGATATGGTTGCCTTGTCTAATGTACAAAAAGTCCCTGCATGGAAGCTTTCGCCTCTTTGTTCCATGTGTAATGTGGCTGAAAGTGAGTCGCTGCAGCATACGCGCGGGAGGCGTAGAACTTGCAGCTGTACAAAAGGTCTCTACATTCTTATTGACCAATAGCGTCTAATTCTTGTGTGATAGATATCTGCATCTGCATGAAGCTATCGACTGAAGGATTCGCTCGTGGTGCATGCCCCTGATTGGTGTAAAAGGCAATAAGGCTCGGGCAGACGGCTTCATAGTACCACGATTTTATTAGACTAACAAGACTACAGCTGCAGATTGGATACTGTATCTTGAAGATGTTGTTTACGAAGATAGTCACAACAGTGGTATCAGGTACTGGACAAAAGTCAAGTTCAGGCTATTATTGATTGGCTCCTATAGACTTAGACTAACTTCAGGCCTCGAAAGTCGGCCTGTGGCTTACATACCAACCCCCAAAAAGGTGAAGAACCATATCATCTTTCAGTCCTTCTCATGCACGTCTAGCCCATGCTCTAAATGCATCCTTAGTCAAGTTCGTACCGACAGGATTGCACATAACCGACCCATCATCAAACACCACAAAGTAAGACCGGTCATTCTCAAGGTTCAAACCCAGGGTCCGAATCCTGGGCATAGTCCTGATAGACTGCTCTAGACTCCCGTAGTTACCACGGAGGTTCCATTGTCTATGTCCAGATTCCTTTTGGGCCACGTACGAGCCTTCAGTTCCCAGCCAGACGTACTTGACGCCGTCGTCATCTGGGTCTGTGTTCTCGACAAACTCATCAGCTGCATCTGGAAGATTCCAAAAGATTCGGCCGCTTCTGGTGCGCATGAAGTAGTAACCGTCACTCCCGAGGGACACGAACTCGGGGGTGTCACCATCGAGAGAGTCGAGTGCTCTGTCGAGGCCACCATAACTGGATAAGGACCAAGCTGTGAACTGTGAGCTCTCTAATGAATCTAAGCAGGAAGCCAGAGAGATCTTACACCATGTGAATCGTTCAGTTCTCTCGTTGTAATACTTGGTGAAGTAGCAATCGTCTTCGCCAATCGCTACAAAAGCATGATGAACTCCTGGAGGGTGCTGGAACGCTTTGGCGAACTCTCTATCCGAAGCACCACTTGAACAGTTCAGCACCAGGACGAAAGAAGCGTTTGTCCAAGAGAGAGATCCTTACCTTAGGTTTCGTCCATAGGGACCGCAGAGAAAGTAGTTTTTGCCAACCAGGCTGACATTGGATTCGGGCATGTTTGTTTGGTAACGTCACTGTAGAAAAAGATTCGGAGTTGCAAGATAAAGAGGATGTATCAATTTGACTGAGGCATTTGATAGAGTATTTATAGCAGATAGACTGTGGCCGATGTGATGTCTCCCTAGGTACCCCGGTTTCTTGAGCCGCTATTGCCTCCTGGCGAACCAGTCTGCAGCCAGGCCATAGGTTGGTCACCATATTGCACTTTACATCTACATTAGAACTCACCTCGGCATATATTTGTCCGCCAGGGGCATCTTGGTAGTGGTGGTGTCGAGGAGAGGGCTGAGTGGCCTCCCTGGGCAACTTGGATGCATGAGGTGATATCACCCCCAAAGAGCAGGGTCTAGCTCCCTAACGCATAGGCTCATTCTCCGGTCATGCATGTCTTTATAGTTTTATTCCATTTTGAAATGGCTTTGAGAGATTCACAACGGTGCGGACATGATTAAGAGCCTCAAGTTGGGTCTCAGCCTTATGCTGGTGTTCGTGCTTGCATCTGATGCAGGCTCACTCACAGTGACCAAGAGGGATATTAGAAGCACCTTGAAGATGGGTTGTATGCATCTTCTAAATGAATCCTATGTGCACTCAAGAAAACGTCAGGATCATGCTTTTATTTGCTGGTCGCCTTTCTTCTTATGTGGTGTTCGTATGGGCTCACCTCGACTGGTCTGTGTGTAAGTAGATGAACTGGCAACGTATGTTTGAAACGATCATTTTACAACATAAAAGTAGAACTGTATTAGATAGGCGGACATGATATTTAATTATAAGCGCTATAGGTGACAAAAGCTTAGGTAGATAGATCACAGTGTGTCTTGTTCAAAATGGACATATTGAGGATGCATGTATGCCTATGTCAAACTAAGGTTTGGGAGCAGCATATCTCATGATAGGCAGCATCAACAGCTGTTTCAATACTTCATTACAGCTATAGTTTTCCATCAAAGTTCAGCACAGGCAGAATTAATTCTTCGTTGCCTACTCCACGACCCAATCATATCTCCCGGCGAGCGACGCAACCTCACATTGGAGAAGCAACCTACAGATAATCCTTGCATCCATTCTCACCCCCTCCAACATTTAAGCTTATCCAAAACCACCATATCATGAGAATTCTCCGACCAACACCACGTCTCTCTTCTATATTCTCTTCCAAGACAACAAGTTCAAGCTTCCGCTTCTTCACAGCAATGGCTCCTCATAACGATGTAGGCGCCTTTCATGAAGCCCTCCGCTCAAGCAAGCGCATCCTCGCACTCTGCGGAGCTGGGCTCTCAGCATCATCTGGTCTACCAACCTTCCGTGGCGCTGGCGGTCTTTGGCGCAATCATGATGCAACGTCCTTGGCTACTATGAGTGCTTTCAAGAATGATCCGGGCCTTGTGTGGTTGTTTTATAATTATAGACGTCATATGTGCTTGCGCGCGGAGCCGAACCCTGCGCATTATGCTCTTGCGGCGTTGGCTGAGAAGAACAAGGACTTTTTGTGTCTGACGCAAAATGTCGACAGTAAGCCTTCCCATATGAATATCTCGTATAAGTTCTAATATTCTCAGATCTCTCTCAGCAGGCGGGCCATCCACAGGATCAACTGCGTACTTTGCATGGCTCTCTCTTCGACATCAAGTGCACCAACTGCGATTGGATCCAACGAGGCAACTATGATGATCCATTCTGTCCAGCTCTCGCACCAGCGTCGGTCGACGTTGAGCCAGGCAAACCGTTTCCTCTCCTTGACGCCTCTCAGCCTCTGGACCCAATCTCGCCAGATGACATTCCGAAGTGTCCTCAGTGCAAGACAGGCTTTCAAAGACCGGGTGTTGTATGGTTTGGTGAGAATCTGGACGAAGTTATGATGATGGGTATCACGAACTGGCTTCTTAAGGACAAAGTGGTGAGTTGAACTCGACGTTGGGCTATTGTTGGAAAGTTGACTAATTTAATACAGGACTTGATGCTTGTCATTGGCACTTCGGCTCAAGTCTACCCTGCTGCAGGCTACATCGATAAAGCCAAACGTAAAGGCGCACGTATTGCGGTTATCAACCCCGAAGCTGAGAATGAAGAAGAGATGTACAAGGTCAAGCCTGGTGATTTTGCCTTTGGCAAGGATGCTGCAGAGTATCTGCCTTTGCTGCTGGAGCCTGTCATTGGCAAACTTAAGACCGAGGGGAAGTAAAGGTTCTCGGTATTTATAAGCAATTCTTTACAACATATAAGAGAAGAAAACCATGAATACTTTATTATCTTGACTGGCTTTGTTGCAAAACTGAACTGGCGAGCAGATGATTCTATACGGTTGATAGGACTATGTTACAATATGAAGAGTTTATGGTGATTATAGCACAATATTAGGCTGAACTTATCTTTCTCCAAGAGTCAAATCCGTAACTGCATTCTTTTGGAATTCTACAGAATACTGTAGGTAAGGTATTTGAGGATTGGATCATTGATGTCTATGAGCAAGATTAATCCTTGAATTACACTTTAGGCAGCACTTAAAGCATACTAAAATTTTGAATAATAACGACCTATTCGAACACCATGATCCCGTGTCTTTATGATGAGCCTCTCCATCTTTTCTTTTCATCAAAGTTGAACTTTTGACGTCAATGATGCTTGAGGCGAGTCGACTTACACCACAACGCAAACCCCACTGAAAGTGACGTATCTACCACTATAACATCACCCCTCCATCCACCATCTCTTTCAACACCAAATCTTCCTCCCTCCACCAACAAAAGGCCACGAGCCTCAAAACCGCCGCAAGAATGCAGGGCTTCAACATGGGCCGCTACGTCCCGCCCGACGTAGAAGGCACCACATCCGGCAACCGTCTTCACAACAAACACCCCCTCGGCGCACGCGCCTCAAAGCCGGGCTCCCTCACCGTCCGCTTCGAGCTTCCCTTCGCCGTCTGGTGCAACACCTGTCCCAAGCCCACGATAATTGGCCAAGGCGTGCGCTTCAATGCAGCGAAGCGCCGTGTGGGGAGTTATTTCTCAACGCCGATTTGGAGTTTCAAGTTTCGTCATGCTGAGTGCGGAGGCGAGATTGAGATTCGCACGGATCCGAAGAACACGGCGTATGTGGTTACAGAGGGTGGTGCGAAGAGGGATACGGGGGAGGATGTACAGCGTGAAGGGGATGCGGTTATCATGACGGATCAGGAGAGGGAGGCGTTGAGAAAGAATGCATTTTCGAGTTTGGAAAAGACTATTGAGGATAGGGAGCAGCTCAAGCGCGCGACACTACGGATAGACGATCTTCTCGAGGCGTCTGCGAAACATTGGGATGATCCGTATACGCAGAATCAAAAGCTACGGAAGGCATTCAGGGCAGGTCGCAAAGAGCGAGAGCGCGATGCTACGGCTACAGGGGCTCTTCAAGATCGCATGAGTCTTGGCATAGATCTTGTTCCTGGGACAGAGGAAGATGCTCGCCGTGCGGCACTTATTGACTTTGGACCTGTGGTTGATGACGGCAGGGATCGAGCATTATCAAAACCCTTATTTCAGACTGAAGGGAGCAAGAAGAAGCCACTGGACTCGAAGAGTGGAAGTAAGCTGAAGGCTGACAAGGAGGCTTCAAAACGTAAAGATGCGTTGGTGTCGGAACTGATGGGCAATACTCGGGCTTCCAAGGATCCTTTCTTGGTCGACAAACGGCATGAGACGAAGGGACCGGCCAGACTGCCAGGTGTGAAGCGGAAAAGATCACCACAAGAAACGGAGTCAAAGAATTTGGAACCACCATCCAAGGCGCAGGCGCCGGCTTCGCCAGCAGGCCTGGTTGACTACGATTCTGATTAAGCAGTTTACTATAGGCGCTGGCTCTTTAGAATAATTATAGATATGATACCCGGGCTCAGCCCAATTTATTGGTTTAATATTCAAAGTCCTGTCCTTCTGCTGTGCATCTTTGGCAGAGAACGAAAGGCTGACCATCATGTCCAAACTGCTTCCAAGGTCCTGACTCCCGGGCCTTTCGCCAGCAATCATGACATCCAGTTGTCGTTATTCCGTTCGGCGCCTTCCGATATGCACAAGCGAAGCTTTGTGTGTGCAACATGCCAAACTAATACTAAGAAACAAATTCGATCCGAGTCCAAGCCTGCGCGAGGTGACTGCAACTCCGTCCAATGATAGCCCTAAATCCGTGCCTCGGTCCCATGACGCCATATGTGAATCGAAACGCTCGCCCAAGTTAATGCGCTTGTGGAAGGGCTTATACATCGTCCATCTGTCCCGCAGGCTCGTCATCGTCGTCCCCAAAACTGGCAACTGAGGAGAGTTCGTCGTCGTCTTCGCTTTCGGCTCCGGCTTCGTCTGCTGCATCCTTGGAAGCATATTTCTGGACATATTCTACTTTCGTAAGTATAAGGTCTAATTCAGGAACCCATGCTCACACACCTTTGACCTTGGCATCATAGCTCTTTGGTTCTCTAATCAATAAAGCCGCCGCCTCACCGTTGAGAGGGTCGGTAGGGTTGGGGTATCGCAGGAGTTGAGGAAGGAAAACCTCGAAAATGTTGATCATATCGAACATGGGCGACCAAGTCTGGTTAATAACATCGAGACAGACCGAACCGGACCTGAACCATTAGCCATAGTTCAAATCAGAGGGAAGTATAGGTTTCGTACAGCTCGTCGATATTGGGGTGGAAGATGCGGTTGACAAAGCCAATGCTAGGGGACTTGTAAGGGTAGGTGTCGGGAAGCTCGACATGAACCTTCCACATTCCGCCCTCAAATGGAGCTTCGTAATGTCAGTGATTATTCGGACAATGCGCTTCGGTCAACATACTCTCAGCTGGTCCTTTGAAGCGAACAAAGAACTCTTGCCTAAGAGAATCGGTCAGGAAATAGGTCGGAGTCGGTGAAAGTGGAAGCTTACACTATTTCATGTTAGCAAAGTTAACGTTGGTATTCGGGTTAAGTCTTACTGTTGTCATTAACAAGTGTAACTTCGTAGTCACTCATAAGCCTATTGGTGTCAGTATCATAGAAACGGTAGCTTAAATTGAGTTCCGTACATCCTGCAACGATGTTAGCAATACAACAAGCCATAGAGTAGAGACGACAACGCACTTCATGACCTTGTTGACGATTAGTGTTAGTCACGGTCCTATCACAGTTTCGGAAGACTGTACAAACTCACATCAGTCTCGATTCTGCGGCGTGGGCTACTCATGATGGCGGTCGACGTTGTTTCCGAATGTGGGGTTATGAAGGTATCCAAAGAGCTCCGGGGCCGGCGCGATAGGCGATACTCGAGAGGAAGTCGTTAAGAAGAGGCAGAAGAACTGAAGCTTGTGTGTGGAATATTTTGCAGTTGAAAAGATAGAAAGATGTTGGTTGGGAATAGCTAAAGTATTGCTAGAGGCAGGTGAAGATGAAGTTGAGTCAAGCAAGCGCAAGTCACGAGGATATGATGTGTACGAGCGTGATAAGCCGCTGCAAACGCAACACGGCAGGTGCCGCCTGCTCCTTCAGGGTGTTAGTGTTATCGATAAGGCATTAATCTGCCGCAATGGGAGATCGACATAGCACGTCACGAGCATAACACAGCATGAAACATTGATCTAGACTGAAACGATGCAACTCAGTTGAGTCATCTTTCTCTTTAAATCAAGTTTTAGAGGCCTCAGTTTCCAATAAAGGTGACACATTCTGAGTTAAGCCTTGAGCTTGTTTCTTAGGTGCAATTATCAGATGTCGAGCCTCTGCTTAACAATCAGTTTCTTTGATGATTTACACCTATGTTTGAATGCATTGAATGTCATTGATCAGAGTTACCTAGTCCTTGTTCAAGTTGAGGATATTCGATAGGAAGCAAACAGTGATGGTAGGTTACCATCAGCATATGGATACCTACATCTCGATGCATATTCGCGTAGCAACACAGACCAAATAAAGTTGTAGGGCCGGCCGGAACCATTATCGCGGGGGCAGCCTACCATAGGAATATATGTAAAAACGGCTTTATATATAGTCGTTGCGACTGTAAAAACATTAATAAGACAAGATATACAGATACTTGCCGGGTTACTTATGGATATTATGTCCCTCGGTTCTCGCATGCGTATTCGGATCTACGTTCATCACAACTTCATGAGACCCCCTCCATTTCCAAATCCTCGGTACAAGTACCCAGCCAGCCTCAACCAGAACCGTTACACTTCCCCCACTACACCTCCATCTCGGCACAGCCAGTAACAACCTCGGCTTCCGAGTACATTCAACGACTTTTTGTAACTTTTCCGTGACCTCAGTACTTCAAGTTAAGAAGTGTATTCCAGCGTGTTTTGTAGTATAATCCAGTAGCCCAGAATATTATACATCTAAATGAAATGGCGGCTCAACATTAAACGCACCTTCGGTCGTTCGGCCATTCGCATGCCCTGAAAGGATTAGTCTAAATTAAATTTCACTTCCAGAACCCCAAAAACTTACTGCGTGGGGCGCAGACCAGGGGTGCTGAGAAAAAACACCAAGATACTCAAATATACAACGTAGGGTTCATCATGGTTCAGACATGAATAAAAGCTTTGCTTTCCCCGACTTTCTGACTAGATCGCAACTTTAACTGTCATAAACGAAACAACATTAGTCAAGATACTCTTTTCATAATTTTCCCCCTTTCAAAAAGGATCACTATAGACTTCTTGAGCCACTCTCTCTGTCGGTCTGCGATCTGCCTGCAAGTACCTCAAGTTTCTGTCACTCACAACACTTGACAAAGCACGCGACGCCTTATCTTCACCTCAGCCCACTCTGCTAGCACTTCCCCTTACTCCTATTGCCGCCTCTTCCTCATGTCATCTCTTATCAATCCTACCATGAGGTCATGTGCCTCTCTCCTATCCCGGGTGTCCGTCCCATCCACTCGGCCGGCACCCCGGACCCTCGGCCGAGCCGTTCGGCCCCTCATTGTCGGAGGTGCGGCGCAGACCCGGTACAGCTCTCACTCTCCCATGGGTACACCTCCGGCTGTCCAACGCAAGAAGGTCACTGTCGGTACACTTCGCTCCATGCACCGCAAGGGTGATCCCATCACCGTCATGACAGCTCATGACTTCCCCAGTGGTCATGTTGCTGATCATGCTGGTATGGACATCATCCTTGTGGGAGACAGTCTCGCCATGGTAGCACTTGGTATGGAGGATACTAGTGAGATTATTTTGGAAGAGATGCTTTTACATTGTCGATCTGTTGCGAGAGCGACAAAGTCGGCTTTCACTGTAAGACCCCTGTCTTTTATATGCAAGTAATAAACTAATCCCAGTAGGTTGGAGATCTACCCATGGGCACTTATGAGATTGGTCCTGACCAGGCTCTAGCTACTGCCATCCGCTTCATCAAAGAAGGCCGTGTCCAAGGCGTCAAGCTTGAAGGTGGTAAGGAGATGGCCCCCACCATCAAGAAGATTACCACTGCTGGCATTCCCGTCCTTGGCCATATTGGCTTGACTCCTCAGCGACAAAACGCACTTGGTGGCTTCCGCGTCCAGGGCAAGACAAGTAGTGGTGCAATGAGCATTCTCGAAGATGCCCTTGCTCTTCAGGAAGCTGGTTGTTTTGCCATGGTTGTTGAGGCAGTTCCTGCTGAGGTGGCCGCGCTCATCACTGAGAAGCTCTCCATTCCCACCATCGGTATTGGCGCTGGCAACGGTACCTCGGGCCAGGTCCTGGTACAAGTCGATATGATTGGAAACTTCCCTCCCGGTCGATTTCTGCCCAAATTTGTCAAGAAGTATGGTGATGTCTGGGGAGAGAGCTTGAGAGCTATCGAGGCGTATCGGGATGAAGTCAAGTCGCGCCAATACCCTGCTCCTGAGCACACATACCCCATTTCGGCGGAGGAACTTGAGAACTTTACTAAGGCGGTGAATGATTCCTAGACGCGAGGCGATGATACCCTAGAAGTAGTTTCATGAGGTTTTGGAGAGGCAAGCTTGTCGAATTCGTGTGTAGCGCAGTCATAGAGGTCGCATAGCTCGGAGTTTGGGTTGAGTAGATGTATAGCCTTTTGCATATCCAGATAGAAGAATTCAGCCTTGTTATCATCATCCAAAAGCAGGAGTCAAAGAGTAGGCTACCACTAATTGGCCGTGAGCGTTTTTAAAGCACTGAGAATGTTAGTCGCCGTGGCTCTGCAACCTGGTAATCCAGAATAAGCCTTGTGCTGGGCCCCATTACTCACCTGATGAAGGTTGCCTACAATCTCATCCAAAGACGGCGCAAATGCACTGTTGACGTACAAGAAGACACTGTCTGTCTCCTTACACCTCAATTTCTTCCTCAGATATCTCACGACCTCTTCAAAGCGCCTTGTTGCGCTAATCTTGCACACGTCTTGCGCCAACAACGGAGCAGACCCCACGGGTTTAAACCGCACTACGACCTTGTCCGCCTTGAAGGCTCCAGCAGTTGCAAGTGCGGCGCTCGCATCTCGTGGTAGATCAGCCAACACCACTGAGGCGGACATGGTAAGTGGTAAGTTGGGGGATGCGGCACCGCTTCCTGCTCCTTCATTATCAGCCAGAGGCATGGGTGAGGCGTTCGAGGGTGAGGGTGATGGTGAGGGCACCCATTCTGCTGGCGGGTTGTCCGACATTTTGAAGATCTTGTGCTTTTGAGAGTCGAAAATTCTCAGGTTTGTGAGTGAATGTTCAAATGTGCTGGTGGTGAAAGAGGCTACACAGCTGTCTCTGTAAGTAACTCAGTTGTGAAACTGTCGCCTACCTGAGGTAAGGTAAGGTTGCTTATGACAGCACAGTGTTAGACTTTATGCACTGTGTATGATACTGGCGTATCAAGCCTCATCATGACTCCTCAATCAAATACTGCGGTGCCTCATCACCCCAACAGTCTCTTTATTTTTATCTTTTCTTTATTTCTTTACAAGCAAGATTTAAATTATGTTTGTTTTCGGTTTTATTCGATATACCACACCACAACTGAAGGGCACCCGGTCAGGGGAAGCAACAAAACCTACGACCTCTATTCCAAGTGTCAAAATTAATTAGGTAAATTTATTTTACATACTGGGCCTTTAGATCAGTCAATTGTAGTACCTTATATCAAGGTCTGAAGTTTTCTTGCTCCCTGAGGCCAGGTTGATGATCATGAGCTGAGATGTCATTGTCTAAACTAAGAGACATTCGAAGCCTCTATTTTACTTCTTTACAGTCAGCCATTCCTGAGCAAAGTCTTTCTTATGCTAAATGGCCCTCTCAAATTCAGTTTACTTGAACTCGGTCCCCTATTCGGTTTGCCTCAGATCCTGGCAGAGCTTCTCGTACTCCTCGGCTGTCCGGGGTGCCAAACGTTCAGTCTCGATGCTCCCCATGATAACGTCCATCATATTGCCTCTGACGCTCTCATACACCATGCTCACCCAGCTACCAATAGTCTTCTTACCCTCAGTTGGAAGGCCTTTGTGTACGTTGTAGAGGGGATCATCATCAAGACCACATTGTGTCGGTACTCCCAACTTGGATCGAACCCAAGTATACAACGGAGCGGTCCCAGCACCTAGCTTGGTAGCCACGTCGACAGAGCGTATTGCCATGTTAGGATAGAAGATTGAAGATGCTGTATCAACGACTGCTTTGTGAAACTGGCCACGGAATACAGCAAGACTGGACATCGGACAATCGATCTTCTCGGCAGTCAGAAATTGCGTGATTGGTGCCATGACGGCATCGACGGTGGGCATAATGCGATCCTTCCAACAACCGATATTGTGGTCAAACCACTCCCGCTCGACGACTGCGAAAACAGTCTCACCAATCCTCTTGATATCGGCATCATCGAGGCCAAAGACATGGAAGGGCCCGTTTTCCGTTTTGTCTAGAAGCACTTTTTCGTGAAGTGTTTTCAGGAAAAGTCGATGGCTTGCTCGAAGCTCAACTGCTTGGCATGAAACGTAGATGTGACAAGCACACATATGCGCAACAATATCTGCAGCCTCCATGGTTCGTCGAGCTGAAAGCAGTGCAAGCGAGTTAATGCCCTGATTGTGCATCTCAGCTGACATGACGTGAGACGAGACGGGGTGAGCGAGAGCAGCTAACTCAGACATGTATGCAGACATGTTTACGTCAATGCCTTTCATGGTGAAATTCTCCTTGTCACTGATGTTGAGGTTGGCTTCGAGACCATTGTTGGTTGAGGGGTTGATCATCTCGCTGACCTGAGAAAAGAGCATGCGTCCAATCATCTGGAGAGCAAGTCGTGTCTTGTCCATGGCAGAAGTTACAACAACTGCCTGGAAGTTGCCTCCTGAGTACACATCACCAACCACTTTTCCATCTTTCTCCGACGCGTCAACCAAGGGGTTATCCGATGTCGAATTGAGCTCCACGGAAATTTGTCTCTGGGCAAGCAGAAGGTCCTCCAGATAAGGACCAATCCATTGGGGACTTGTGCGGGTGGAATATCGATCTTGCCAAAGACCATCGCCAGTTCTCTTACGGTCCTCCAAGCCGACAACAAATTCCGAGCCTTGTAGAAAGCTTCTTATGTTGGAAGCCGCCTCGATCTGACCAGGGTGTGGTCGTACAGCATGGATAAAAGGGGTTGTCCACTCAACGTTGCCACCCATGGCCTCGGATGCAAATCCTGTCAATACCTGAGCAAGCACAGCCAGCTGTTGCGCATCATGGAGTACCAGACTGGCAACGGATACAGATGGTGCAGTTCCATTGATAAGGCCGAGAGCTTCTTTCGGTCCAAGACCACTTGGTGAGAGACCACTATCCCGAAGGGCTTCATCTGAAGGCATCACCTTGGCCGACAACCCTTTACCAACTTGAACGAACACATCAGGGTTTCCAGTGACCGCCCCAGCGATGTAAGATAAGGGCATGAGATCGCCAGACGCAGAAATAGTGCCTCGAATAGGAACCATAGGAGTAATATCATGATGAAGCAGCTTGATCAACCTCTCCAACACTTCCAGTCGAACAGCGCTTTGCCCACGCATATTCTGGTTCGCCCGAGTAAGTATAGCCCCTCGAACCCACTCAGGAGGCATGACGTGAGATGGTTCTCTTTCAGAGTTGCTTCTAGGGTTCTTGTCGGTAGAAGTGATAATGGCGCTCTGTGTATGTTGAAGAGAGCCAATTTGGTTCTCCAACCATTCGTCAGTTCGGACATCTGCACTTCCTCCAAAGCCGGTATTGACGCCATATACTACGTATTTGTGTGACAAGTACTCAGCTAGTGCGTCAACACTTAGAGCAATGCGGCGGGCGAGATCCTCGTCTTTGCTGATCTCGGGCTTGACACCATGACGAGCAACTGCAACTAAAGAAGCAATATCGAGACTGTTGCCATCAAGAATGGTCGTTTCCTTGCCGTTCTTCAGGTCTCGTAGTCGTTTCCAGATATCCAATGTGGACTCGGCATGAGCCGAGGTTTTGAGGTTCATGGTGACATATGCCGGAGTTGGTGCAAAGCTTGAGGAGTGCTGGCAGAGAGTAAGAGTGAAAATTCAAGCGTCGCACAAAGCTTTCTTGTAAGATATTTCACCTGCCAGTCAAGGTTTCTCTTTAACCTGGGGATGTAATCGGTGAGAGTGATTCACCTCAAGTAAGCGGCGACGGCACCTATGTAAGTCAGAAGACCAGATAAGTCGAATAGACTTGTACGCCCTCACCACCAATTTTTCTTTCTAATGTCTTTTCTCACTTGAGATTCACCAATTGCGGCCTAACCTTCAAAGATTTGAAGTGAATGAACCAAGTATCACAAAGTTGAGACTTGTCCAAGCTTGGCAGGTCCAATTTGAACATGTGATAGTCCTCGTGGGCTTACACTAGAAAAGTTTGCGTTTCTAACGATGAGAATCGTAAGAGAAAAGGAAACTTAATGTGGTCTCAGCCGAAAATCGGTGAGAGACAAAAGAAACACATACGTAAAGTTTCACAGTGTGCATTTGCCAATCAGCTACTGCAGGCTGAAAACGCCACATAGTTAAGGGGTTCACATGGGATGGAACTCACGCAAGACACTTGTCTAACAGAAATAGCCAATGATTCACACACATTTACGCTTAAGCAGCCCACCTTCACTGTGCATCATGCTATCAAGACCATACTTTGTTCAAGTATTCATGTTACATAACATGTAGGTACATATACATGTCCTAAACGCATATCTACATCAGACCTTTCTGGTCATCGTCGTAAAGCAGTCGCTGTTGCTTTTTGCGATATAATTCTTCCGCTCCAATACCTTGATTCACCTTTGTACAACCCTTCATCAAACCCATCTCGGCCATTTGCCCTAACCATGACTCTCAAAATGGACCGCGACGAAACGCCCCAGAAATCAGTTAACATGTATGCAGTCCAATCAGAACAAATGAAATGGCCGACTAGACCGTAAGATAATGTGCCAAAAACCATGCCGCTCTGCGCCGTCGCATGCAGTTCATGCTTATAAGGTAAAAGGAGAAAGCGATAGTAACGAAGACGCGGATATTTTAAACCGAAAGACCGTCCGGTGATGCCGCCATTAAGCGCAAGGCTAACCAAACTCATGAGGTATCTTTGATGTTTGTACACTGCGTGCTGTGGGAATCTGAACCGAAATGCGCAAAATGGACTTCATAAAGAGTTTGTTTTCGTGGAATGCCAGTAACATAGACCATGAGCTGCGGACCATGACAAGGCTTGAGATGATGGTGATGCGATGTTGAAAAGATTTATGTCGTATTATTTATGAATGGCCGTTACCAGACTTCCTCTTCATCAGAACCAGATGCGTACTTAGGCATCCTCTTGATTTGTGACAGGAGAGAATCAAGCTCGGTCCAGTTTTCGTCGTTTTCAGCAAACTTCCGATGTTTGCGAGATAGAATGTGCTACAAAAGTTAGTTTCAAAAGGCATCCTCTCGAAAAAGTTGTTACATACCTCGTCAAAATCGCGGAACTTGTCCTGGCAGTTCTCGCAATAGCCAGGCTTGAGGTCCCGCTTGCTCTTAAGAGGTTGCGATTGTGTCCTCCGCTCAGTCTTTTGAGCTTCCTCTTCTTGCACCTCAGCAGGTCGCGAAGTGTGTCGGCCCATCGTTGTTGATCTGCTAGATGCAACGTCCATTGAAACCTCAGCAAGACGACGCGAGCTCACATCAAACGAAGTAGGGGCAGCCTTTTGCAACACCTTGCGCTGCAGGCCATGAACCTCTTTACTGGTTCCAGCCTTGGCTCCATTGACACCAGATGTCGAAGAGACCATCTGCGATCGAATGGCTGAGGTAATGTTGGAAGGCTGCACTCCAGATGCCACAGGCTCGCCAGCAAAAAGACGGCCAGCGGCAGCACGGCTTGTGAAGGCGTTTTGAGGTCGGACATCCACTGGTTTCGACATGGCCGCCTTCGCGGGGTTGAAGATATCAGTAGGTGTCGCAGCACGGGCTCTGCTCTGGCCGTCCTCCATCTCAGCAATGGTTCGCTTTCCTGTGACCGGCTTGGGCATTGGGACCTGAGGAGGCCTGAGAACATGAGCAGCTTCCTCACGCTTGGCAAGGCGTGCCTTTTCCTGCTCTCGTTGTCTTCGATGATCCTTTTCAGGCACATCGTGGTCCTCCACAAACGGGCATCGACCGTTTCCAACACTTCGAAACTGAGGCCATTCACCATCCGCCTTATTAGCAACCTTGGGGTACTCTCGAACCATGATGGGCTTGTTCTTCTCGTCCATATCCCATACATAAATGTGAGGTCCCTTGAAATAGCATAACTCACGATGAACAGCAGAAGGATCACGATCAGATGGTCCGTTCAGACGCTCATTGTGCAACAACTGGAGCAGGTTAGGCTCCCTCGAAGCACCGTAATGACCGCGAGTGGCTGTTGATCTTGAACCGTACGTGCTGTGGCTTGTCTCTGCCTCAAGCAAGACTGACAGCATGTTTTGGAACTTGTCCAGTGTCCAAATCTTCTTGCCCATCTCACGAGCCTTGTACAGTACGTCATTGTTCTTTGATCCTCGGGTTCGCTTCAAAGGATCATCAAGCTGCTGCGACCTTGAAGGCGCATTGCGGAACTCGGACAGTAGCTTTCTTCGAGCTTCGGTATTACGGTTCAATAACGACGGATTAATGGTTTGAGGCTGTTCTTCCGACTCGTTGTGTTCGCCATGGTGGCCTCGGTCCTGGCCTTGATGCGCCTCTTGTCTTTCGGGTGGAATTGTTCGAGTAGTGACGACATGGGTAACGTCGATGGAGAAGAAGGGTTCTTGTCTCTGAAGCAAGGTCAGTGGGGTCCATCAAAGCTTTCGAGATTAACATACAGCACCAAGATAGTTGACCCTCTTTGTTAGTCTAGCACGAACATCATCGGGTATACTCTCAAAATAGAAGACCATTTTAGGAAACTTGGCACGGTGATGCTTCTTCCATGCTTCCTTCTCAGTATCGGCATCACGGGAGACATTGGTCGGAGCAGCCCTAGAGGTTCTTTCCTTGGTAGAAGGACGCGTGGCGCCGCGTTGAACCAGAACCTGAGTCCTGGTGGACCGGGTAGGTGATCGAACCGGACGCTGCACGCCATTATCGAGTACCTGCTTCTTTAGAGGCGGCGGCTGGCCATAGGTTTCTTCACGCTGAACGGTAGCATATGAACGCTTCTGCTTAGCATATCCAGCCAGAGCGGAAGCACCTCTCAGAGGCGAATTGGCAACATTGGGGTTGTTCGTTAACGGGCCCCGTCTCGAAGACATGGCCGATATGGGACCAGGCGTTGGTGACAAAGATATCGTTGCCATATAAAGCCCGTGAACTGCTCTGGGGAGGAGAGACCAGAGCAGAGGGCGTTTAAGCAGAACGACAAAAGTCGAGAACGAACGTCAAGGATGACGTGACGAGATTTGAGCTGTTATTGGCGGTGGTCGATCGTGGTGGTGGTAGACGGACGGGTAGTGGTAGTAGCGAGGACGGTAGTGGAGGGGCTGGGAGGATGAAACTTGTGACAGCACGCGACGCGGAGCCTGACACGTCAAAGCGACTAGACAGAGACAATGGGAGGCAACAAAGAGAGAGAGAGATAATAGATGCTATTGACACATCGAAGCTGACGGAGATGGCAAAGATGTAAAAGAAAAAGAAGTCAACAACAAACGCAGTCAAATGATGAGCGAGCAACAAATCGGCCGTTATGTTGTTTTGGTAGGTACTGAACCTTTTCCTGAGCCTGGTGCTTTGAATGGAGGGAAACGAGCCAAGTGAGGGACAGACTCCATCGAATTTGATGACTGAGCAAAGCAAAGCAAAGCAGAAACCCGTGGCCGTGTTGTTAGAGTCGCGCTTGGCACAACAGCACTATACCGCTCCTGGGGCAGTTCAGCGACTAGCAGGGCCTTCTAGGAGGGGCCGCCGGGGGCCCTGTACCTCCAGTGAAGGCCTTCTGTGGCCTGCCAGACGTCCACTGCGAGAAAAACACCTCTTCGCACGGGCCAGTCGCCTAAAAGCCACCCAGCAACCAGAGGCACTACAGCCAGAAACGGGAAATTGGGAGAGACGAGACCAGACAACAAAATTTCAGCCTCGTACCGGAGACGGGGAATTCACGCGAGACATGAGAGGAAACAATAACAGAGAGTCAAGACATGAACGTTTAATTGAGTTTGTTTTTAATTAATTAAGTTTATAACGCAGAAGAGGAATGAAAAGGTAATTGCATAATTAGCTTACATAGTCTATGCGTAGAAAAGACATCATTCTAACTGACCCTGGTGCGTCTCCCGCATTGAAACATCCACCTATCCAATCTCGTCTTGAGCCTCACACTTTTCCGCTGTCTCGCAACTAGCCTCGGTCCATCCTTGTCATAATTTTGGCCTGGCGTCATCACCGAGATCTTCGAGGCTTCTGACGCAAATTGGTCGTGTACGAGGGGTGCAATTGATGCTACAAGTTCCACTAACAAAGCTCAATCGTTTAAACTCAATCTCAGATCATCTTTGATCCTCAAGATGAAGCTCCCTCGAGCTCCATTACGGAGCTTTGAGCATCGTCTACCCCTCCGAGCTCGGTCGGTGAGGAGCATATCGACAATATCTACTCCTACAAGGACGACAGCCTGCCGAGCTCTACCGTCAAATACACCGGCCAGCCGCCGGGCGTATGCCGTTGTCTCCGCCGCCGACCTCCGATTCGGACAGCCAGTCCACGAAACACATCCTCATATCCTACAACCAAACGAAATCACACAAGGGATCACAGCGCAAGAATATGCCGATCGCCGAGCTCTCCTCGCACAGTCTATGACAGAGGGCAGTATTGCCGTTCTGCATGCTGCATCTCTCCAGTACAAGTCTGGCGCTGTCTTTCACCAATATCGACAGGAGTCCAACTTTCTATACCTTACAGGATGGATGGAAGAAAATGCTATTGCGGTTATTGAAAAGACTGGTCCTGAATATGGCGACTACATATTCCGTATGTTTGTCAAGCCCAAAAACGCCCGTGAGGAGCAATGGAATGGTTATCGCAATGGGGTTGATGCTGCAAGAGATATCTTCAACGCTGATGAAGCATATACGATAAATGAGGCAGAGCAATTGCTCCCCAAGATCCTCAAATCGGCCAAACTCATATATGCAGACTCGCCACCTTCAAAAGGTAGTGTTGCTTCGACGGCCACCTGGCTCTGGGGACTCATCTCAGGAAGAGAATCGCGCCCCTCTCGAACACCGCTCTACTCCGTCATGAACAAGCTTCGCGTGGTCAAGAGTGAAGCAGAGGTCGCTAATATGCGTATTGCTGGTCAAATTTCAGGCCGTGTCATCACAGATGCGATGCGCCGACCATGGAAACGTGAGAAAGACTTGCATTGGTTCCTCGACTACCAATTCGCCGTCAATGGCTGCGAAGGCCCGGCATATATCCCCGTGGTAGCTGGCGGTGAGCGTGCAAACTGCATTCACTACACGGTAAATAACAGCACATTCAACGAGGATGAGTTTATCCTCATTGACGCAGGCGGCGAGTATGGCACCTACATTACTGACATATCCCGCACTTGGCCAGCTTCAGGCCGCTTCACCCCTGCTCAGCGCGACCTATACCAGGCCGTCCTCAACGTGCAACGATCCAGTGTGTCACTATGCAGGGAAAGCTCCAAGCTCTCACTAGAGGACATTCACAACGTTACCGCGCGGGGTCTTGTTGACCAACTACGCGGCATCGGATTCAACGTTAACATGGCCAACATTGACCAGCTGTTTCCCCACCACGTTGGTCACTATATCGGCCTTGACGTGCATGACTGCCCTGGCTACAGCCGTCGCGAGACTCTTCGCAAGGGTCACTGCGTTACCATAGAGCCGGGTGTTTACGTCCCCCATGATGACCGATGGCCGGCCGCTTTCCGGGGTATGGGTGTCCGAATCGAGGACAGCGTATGTGTAGACGACGACTCACCCTACATTCTGTCCACTGAGGCAGTCAAAGAGATTGACGATATCGAAGCGCTGCGATCATGACATGTACTACATTAACTGTAACATACTCATATAGACCTGGACCTAGACGTCTGAAATAGAATGTATAGTAAATAGGATCAATACGACTGTGACGGTCGTTGTGTTACTCTTCACGACCCACTCGAAATTTAGTTGCTATGCCTACAATTGATGTTATTGCAGCTCAGTCTTGAAAACAAAAGAAAACCGCGCGTGGTTCATGACTAGGATCATGAATGGGTCAAGCCACAACCGCTGCGGGTGAAATTAAATGCATGTAAGAAATCATACGTACATAACCCGACGCTGATCTTTGTTTATTAGATCTGGGTTTTGTTTAGCTATCTCCGTGTAGAGATCTGATCTTTGTTGTGACAATAATCAACATCTAGGGTAATATCTCATGGTAACAGAATGGGCTCCGCAAGCTGCTATGGAGACAGACCCCAGCCTCGCTTAGTTATTATGGTAATAATCCTAAATTGGATCCGGTATGATATGACAAACAAGTCACAGCGCGTTCAATTGTGCATCGAGACTGGCCAATGAAGGATGCATAATTAGGATGAGCAGTGTATGCTGCGCGATTCATCTCTGGGGTATATTTATACACAATCCCAAGAGTGCTTGGGACAAAATCATGTCTATTCTAGCAGAAACCTCTTGGATCGAAGAGTGTCCGGCTGTGATTCGGCATCAAGAACGGCTGTCGAGCCGAGGCACTGAGAAGCTGCTCAAATGCCTGTAGACGTCTGGCTAGCTCTTGGTGTTCCTTCATGATGGACCTATTGCGCCTTTCTAAATACTGAATATATTCGGTCGCCTTTGTTAAAACAGTGCCCTGTATCACGTCAGTCATCATGTCCATATTCAGTGTTGATGGGAATCACCACTGACCTTGCTCACTTTGGGCGCTCGCTGTGAGTTTTCACCCTCCTCAATTCCATCTTCTGGTATCGAATGGAGGGCAGGTACAGCATCGCGAAGCTCGGCGATCTTGTCCTTGAGATTTGTTCGATACTTTCGCTCAATATCATTATGTGCTGTTCGATCTCCTGGTTTGAGTTTATCTTTGCCCTTTAAATCGGATGTACCAGTATTGGTGCGTGAAAGTCCTGGTCTAGCAGAACTCAAACCTGTCTCGCTCGATGCCTCTGTCTTGACGTCTTGGTTCCTAGATGGAGCCTTCGAGCTGTTGGCTGGCGTAGGCGTTTGCTTTTGGCTGCGGTCTCCTGTCGGCGTTCCCAACAGCGAGTCGATGCTGCTATTAAACTCGGGCGGGAGTCCTGTACCAAGACCAGCTCCAAATCCTAAACCAAATCCACTCGCGGGCATGTAACTGGCTGGTGTCCGGCCAGTATTCATCGCGATAGCAAGAAGTCTCCTTTGCTCATCGTTGCTCAAAACCTGATTATTGCCCATACCCGACATGGTCTGCCCGAACCCTGCGTTCATGGCTGCTGCGGCATTTCCTAAACCAAAGTCCGGTTCCATGCGTAGACCCGGTTCTGGCTTTTCCCAACTGAGTGGTGTCGAGTAAAGACCTTCTCGAGGAGGTACCTCTGGAGGCGGCATAGTCTCGATTTTTGATAAATGCTCCTCCAGACTCATCGAGTCAAGTCCTTCTTCATCATCAGATAGAGCATTGTCTAAAGCATTGTCGTCAAAGTAATCGGCACCCTGAAATGGAGGAGCAGTTGCATATATACCAGTGCCAAGTCCTGGTGTCGTTGAGCTTGATCCGTAACCCGGTCTTTGTCGTTGATCAGTTTCTGATTATGGATACATGGCTTAAACATACCGGTAATGAGTGTTAGTGTTATTGGTCATGGGGTCGTAACGCTTCGAAAAGTCAATTTCATAACTTCCTGTCCTCTCATTTTCCTCGTCGTCAAAACGGATCCAGTAGTCTAAAGATTCCAGTGCAGAATCGGTATCGACCTTTGTACGCTTCCTTTCATGGGCATCTCGCTTCCGTTGTTGATGACCCCGTGGGGGGCCTCTAGTAGGTAGTATGGTCTTGTTTGAGCTGGTGTATGGTGACGGCATCGGAGCCTGGGTGAATGATATATCAGAGGGTGCAGTTGACTGGTAATCGTAGGATGGTCCCCCTTGATTGCCAGATGCTCCAATGTCACCATCTAAGCCTGCCGGTCTCCATGTCGAAGGTTCATGTTGCTGTTGAGATGTGTCGTTGTTCTGATCCACGTGATTCAGCGTCTGGTTGTTGGGCACCGCGAAAAAGTTAAGAAGATTAGGGTCCATTGCTAACACGGCATCCCGGCCTGCGAGGCCGTGTTCGTCGTCTCGTGTGAGCAACCCGTAACAGGGTTTGAGCCAGCTCAATTGGCGATGGCTACTTCGATGAAGGAACGGTGATAATTAGGTTCGACAGCGGTTACAAGAACAGCTAGGTCACTCGATAAAGTGTAACAATCACAAAGCTGTCGCAATGGAATTGAGGGGTCGATCTGTCAAAGCATATGACAGTGGGTCCAGCCGTGATGGAGGGTAAGAATTGATGATGCTGATGATGATGACAACCTCGCGAAAGGGATGAGATGGCACGGAAATAAGTTGAAGTGTTATCGATTGAGATTCAACTAAGTGAAGATAAGATGAGTTCGGTAAAGATGGCTAGGTGGGGTGTCGTTGAGATTGAGGCCAGATCCAGGTGCTTAAAGGAATAAGAAAGCGGGTGATCGTGTTGAAGAACTGCGGAAAGATGAATTGCAGTATGTGACAGCACTGTAAGATGGGTCGACAGCGAAAGCGACAGCCAGGGCGTATGGGCCAAGGAGGAGGTTGATTCGTTGTCGGTTTGCTGTAGATTTGATGAGGTCGAGCTTTGACTGGAGCGTGGCGGAAGCTTGCGGTTTAAGGTATGTGCTTGTAGGCAGGTATGGCTTTTAGCCACAGTGCAGCAACGTATGGTTGTAAAGGCAGTGAGTGAGTAAGTGAGTTTACCGCTCAGTTATTGCAAAATGAGATCGGGCGCAAACAAGCAACATCAAATGGATCGGTCGCCAGATGTTGGTTGAGGGAGTGAAGGGTTTTACGGAGAAGCAGAGTATCAGTCGATAGGATGAGCGGACACATGCGGCTCCCAATTCGTTGGTTGGGATTGGAAAGCCCAGGCCCAAGTTAGACGGGGAACAGGACTGGGAGTCAATCCTGAGACTTGCTTTCTTGCTTGGGGAGGAGAAATAAGGTAAGACTGGTCTTGGACTGGACTGGCTGGATAGGTCGGATAATCAAGAGGGAAAAAAAGGCCGGATTGGGATCTTGTGAGTTGTCGTATTCGCCGCAGTCAAAAGATTGGGTTCTTTAGGGGTCCGATTGAGTCGACTTGTGATCGAGTCACTGTTTTTGGACGACAACGTTGGGGGATGGGGTTTTCTCACAAAGCCCATGTTATGACTGGTGATATTATCCAACCATCTCGTTCTCAACTATTTTTTCTCTTACTCTCTCTCTCTCTCTCTTCTGCAAGCGAGTCGGCGGGACGGGGGTGCGTAAGAGCAAGAGCAGATTTCTCTCCCACTGCCGGTCGACGTCGTGATGTTTGTTGCCCGTAATGGCGTGACTTTTGCCTCGAAAAGGTCCAACTTGTGCGGTTCCAACTCCAGGGGCCCTTGAAGACCCCCCGGAGTCCTGGACCGCTGGCGTAGCAAAAATTGGACGACATCGTATGATGAGCAAGGCTGAGGAGGGGAATTGTACGATAGCCAAGCCTCTCATCCATTGGCTGACTCGTGCTGAGCCGATGTCACTGCTGCCATTGGCTGCCGGATATTATTGCCGTTTGAAAGTCGGGGAATGTAAAAAGCTTCAAGGTTTGTTTCTATTCGTTAGCGGAATGTTTTAGGTCCAAAACTGACGTATCTTTGTCTGCTTCAGCCTGCAATCTGATTCATGAATCAGGTGGCAGATGATACCGCCTCTATTGAGGAACTCATGATTCCCGCTTCTCAGCTGTCACTCTCTTTCACTAACAGTCAATAACCCACTAAAAAGCGGCTTATGGAGAGCTGGGGGTCTTGGCAACGGTTTCTCCCTCGAGTCCTTCAGCCTCGTGCTAGTGACAAGCGATGGCTTCTAGGCTCAGCTGGCCGGCTCTAGCTCCCCATCCAGACCACTCAAGAAGCTCAGGAGGCTCACTGGTGGGTGGGGGCATCTTATGATCCTTGTCTGTTTCATTCATGGAAACGTTCATGTCTGTGTTGCTTTCCTCGCAAGTTTCCTTGTCTAGATATCCATGAAAATGATGAGCATCGCAAAGGATAAACCTACATGAAGTTGTATACATGAGCAAGCCAAGAGATCTGTGTTGTTGTCAGTGCCGTCATTTCAAACCTAATGGTACGGCTGCTTTCAAACTGGCGGCTTTTAACATCCGTACCGGACCGGATTTTAGGTTTAGGGTATCCAATTAGTGGCCAATGCTCCTAGCTCAACCTTCACTACGACCCTAGAGATGGTGTTTTACCTTTTGAAGTCTTTGACAGATGTCTGTTTTTGTCAAAACACTGACCCACCATAGAGTCTTGTCTCAGATTCGAAATAGCCAGCTTGTAGGCGTTCTGCAGCTCCCGAGATCACCATTCCCTTATACTTCCCAGCGGATGTGATGGGCTGCTTCATCCACAAGATGTATAGCTTGATTGAAAATGAATCACAATGTTTTGACCGAAGGGGTGTATTGTAATTGGAAAGAGAGTATTTGTTTATTGACTCAGGCTATTGTCGAACCATAATTCTACGTGGGCGAGCATGGCAAGTACAAAGTTGCAGGTTTTGAGGATCAAGATACAATCACCCAATGGCAGCATGATAAGAAACACCACGAATCAAATCGTTGGTGTAATGCTGCCGTGTTGGCTCACACAGGACTGTAATTCTCACGTTCTGGTCCCTTAAAGCATCGTGAACAAACCCAATGGCTTATCTACCCTCGTCTTCTATACTGTCCATGATCATGCCCCAGTTGAAGCATTTCATCTGTCATTATAGATCACTCCCCCATTAAGTCATATATCGTTATTTTGGTGTCCATGGTTTTGGGAGAGTTTCCTTCCGTAAACAGTCCGGACATATTTCTTTGTCGTAAACGATGTCATGAATATGCGAAGGCCCTTTGCACCCATTAAATACTCTCTGGCACCAGCGAATATTCAGAAAACCGATATGGCCACAAGCAAATTGCCGATCCACCTGCATACACATGTTGACTGGTCTAGGCCCACTGCGTGCGACTGTATAATATAATGCTCTGACTAGGGTGCAGGTGTATTCAGGTGTTTTGCACAATGACCTGCGACTTGGTAAGTCCTATTGTTCTATTTGCGAAATGCGCCTGAAGCTCTTCAATGCGAGAAAGGCTGATACCTTGCTTCTGTATTCAACGTATTCGTATAATCTTCCTGATCCAAATCCATACGTCCGATAGCTCTGAACTACTCGGTCGCAAGAGTTTCGGCACGGCACTCGGGCTGTCTAATAACAGCACACACGCGCGGCCGGCTGGGTGAAAAGAGGACGATATCGAGTCGACGTGAAGTTGAAGCCTTCTCGTTCTGAAGTTCTGTAGAGAGCGGGACGTTAAAAGCGGCCAACGGTCGCCGGAGGTAAGAAAGTGCGAACAAATCGGCGATCGTCAAGCAGGAGCACCAATAACAAAGAAGACAAGTAACCGCAGCGCCCTGCCCGTAGGCGCATGCAGCCTGCGTGTGGTGTCCAGATCTGATGCAGCTTTCAAGGATACGCGCAAGGTTTTGCAGGTGGGTTTGCGGTTCGGATTGGCCTTTGTGAGAAGGGCTTGGAATCGAATTGGAGCATTTCACAGAACTGATCGCGATCGCGATGTGCCTTGGTTGACACGCAGCATGACGTTAATTCCAACCTCCAGGCGCACGGGTTGGGTTAATTTAGGTGCCCTTTTCTCATTGATTGGGCTAAAGAGGTGACCTAGCGTGCCCGCGTACCAAAAATTTATTGTGCTTCAGTTACTGCCCCATTGTGTGTTTGTTACCCTCTAGAAAACTCCAAAGAAGCTCCCTCCAAAGGGCGGCTCTGAATGTCGTCACTTCAAGTTCTGAGCTCCCTTGCTCGGTGGGGGCCGCCGCGGAAAAAAACCATACGATCGACCTTGGCCTTACCGTTGAGTTATTGATTCAACGGAATTAACTCTCGGATCTTTTGTGGGAATCTTCAACCAATCGGCCAAAGACTGGAGGCTATTTACCCCTTCTGGGTTGACTCAACCATCATGGGATCAACATAGTGTATCGAACTTTCAGCTTCTCCGGGGACAAAATAAGGTGATTCTCCTGGCCGATCGCCTGTGTTTTGGTGCAGTGTAATACTGTGACCAAGGTAACCGTCTTTTTCTTTTTGGATATGCTACGTATGTCTAAGGCCCTTTGTTTGGATACCTTACTTTTCGTGATTCAGTTTTAAAGTGAAAAAGAATGTATATCGCCCTTGGCTGAACAACACAATAAGAGCTGGGACCTAGTCCGATGGCTCATAATGAGAAGCCTTGTGTGTTAAATATCGCAGTTGAAATATCCATTCTGTGTTACTGTTTCGATGTTGAGCTTTTAGCTGAGCATACAGCTGCTCAAGTTGAACATAGCAGGGAACAAAGTGTGGTGTATGGAGCCTTTGGCAAGCAATGGATGCAGGACCCAGCGCCAACGATCAAGATGCACTCAATATAAAATTGTGACCTGTTGAGGTTCGGGATTGGTATATGACGAACGTGAAACCTTGGTTAGGTCATATTGAACGATCAACCAAGAGATACAGTACATGTAGATGATCTGAAATAGCATCTATAACCACTTTCTAATAGATAGAGCATAATCAAGATAATGTGAGAATACATAAATGTCGTTTTTGTTGTTTTCGTCTTGATACCTAAGCTTAAGTATACTGTTAGAAATGACATTTAAAGTCAGGTTGCATGGCTCAACACCATTGTTCATATCTCGAAACCAAGCAGATGTGGAGCTAACGGTTTCGCCCTGACTTATTGTTTGCTTTTAACGGAAAGTGCGAGGGGACGAGGCTAAGGTATTTTCTTACCTGTTTTGACCCTCCGCAAAAATGCGCTGCTATGGGAAAGTGCAAGTGCTCTTTTCGAGAATGAGGTGAAGGCTCGTTTGAAGTAGGAGCACACCCGAAGCCCAACTTCCAACCTCACATCGAATTTCCTACCACTCTCTACCGCCAACGCTTCTTTTTTATTTCTGCACTTCCCCCCTTCACCATCGTCGTTTCGCTTTCGCTCCACAACACCTTGAGCCTATCACCAACCAACTCACCTCTTTCTATTACTCCTATGTCTCTTATGCTTCAGATTGCCTATCAACATGTCGTACAAGGCGATCTCGGTTTTCTTTTTGGGACTGGCATTTCTTACGGTCTTCGCGACAGAGGCGCACTGCTTCTCATGGAGACCACGACCAGCGGATGGTATGTTCGAGTGACCGCGCTGGCGCTTTGATGCTAACATCACCATACTAGATCATCAGGTTACACTCCAGCACCCACAGCGCAGTAGTGATAACAGCGCCCTGCTCAACAAACAATCGGAGAAGAGGCTATCCAATGTCTACACTACCGCACTTCAAGAACTTCAAGACCTAGAGTCTGAACCTCTTTGCCATCGCATCGCTGCACGTCTGCTAGTCAACAACTGTCACCTCCTGGATGGTCAAGACGATGCCAAGGTCCATATTGATAGCGGAAGAGCAGCTCGAGACTTTGTGGATTCGTATGCAGCAAGCCTTGCTATTTGCGACTTGGAGCGCGGTAGTTTCAGAATTCCTGTATCCTGCTCCAAGTTTCGAGAGTCAACCTTAGCTACCCTTTCTACTCCAGCTATCCCACAACTCCATGTTTCGACCGTTGAGATTGATGAGTGTCTCGAGGGCCTTGCTCAGTCAGACTCGGCTTGGAATACATGGGTGAGCTATCGTCACAAATCGTTGAGGTTCTGCGATGCCGCAAGGGCAGATCACCAGAAAGGTTAGTGAGCATCCAAAGCAAGAAGTCATACTGATCGTTCATGAAAGATGAGAACATCCTCCTTTATCAGAGAATCACGAAAATTCTCGAGAAACTCACCAGTGACGTTGAGGCAGACATGGAGGAACGGTTCCATTCACTCAATCGAGCCTATACTGCCGCAAGTCAGTCTGTTGAAGACATTGGGCCTCATGTTCGACATCTCCGGACTGAAATGGAAAGAGCTAGTCAAATTCTACGAGACGACTTGGGTCGCGCTGCTCAGGTACTTAGACATTGTTACTTTCTTGGACACACTATTAAACATAGCAGGATTCGCGCGATATCGTGGAAAATGGCCTCAAAGAAACGAAAGTGCTCCACGATCTTTTAGAGCTTCTTGCTCACTCAATTCAAGAGAAGACTGCAGACATTGTTTCATCACAAGAGGTGGCACTCCAAGCAAGCGCGAAGCAGCTAAGTAACGAGGCCGATATTCTTATGGCAGTACTGTCCGCAGCAGTCTCGTCGTCCGTTTCCCTTCAAAATCAGGTGGTGAGTCTGCCAACGAATCATTGGGAAGTCAACGTTAACCAGTCAAGGAAATGACGGAATCTCGAAGTGCAGATATCCTGGAGAAGCAGGTCAAAATCGAACAAGTAAGTGCCAGTTACCATCCTTGAGTATTATGTTAACCAGCTGAAGGGCATGGGAAAACTCGAAGAACTCGCCGAAGACTTGCTGGTCAAGTACGACGACCATGAATCCCGCCTTGACAAAGCCTTTCGAAAGACCGGCCAGGTCCTGGACATACTTGACGCAACTTCTGCATCCGCCACTGGACTGCAAAGCTCTGTTTTCGGCAGCTTTGGGCTTTCGGGAGTTTGGCCGTACATTATTTGCCCATTTTTGTCACTTGCAATGGGATCTTATGGTCTCCAACCTTCCCTTGTGAGAAACATATGGCTCGTCGGGTTTGGTAAGTTTCTGAACCTGTCAAAAGACTTTCACTAATTGTATCAGGCGAGCTGATGGGAATGATTGTGTCAAAAGCAGATTCTTACAAAGATGCTTTTGGTTTTGCATCGATGGTCGAAACCTCTGATTCAACCATCAACGACACGTTCAACACCTCCATCTCGGGAAAGAACATTCTCAAAAGCATTTGATGCTTCGTTTTCGACAGTATTCAAACGAATTTGAAAAATCGGGTAACGTATACGGGTTGTCTTGGGTTTCATTTGATAGCAAGAGGGACATAGGACTTATGGACGGGAGGGTGCTTTCAGACTTTGCTCGCATTTATCATGTTTTTTAACTCTCGGGATTCGGGATTTGGGATACGAGCTAGATCACGCATGGGAACATACAGAGGCGTATCAAAAGGATCCTGTGGTATTTCGTGGCGTCGGGAGCATATCAGTTTACGTTAAGCATGGGAGGCTTGCCAATCAATTTCATACACCATCACCACCGCCTCGTTGCCATTCCATATCCGGCATCGGAGAATTGATTGCCCTATGAACCAAACTGTATTTACAACAGATGCTCGTGTCCCCACATGGGAGTTTCAGCCTCGTCGCCGTGGAGCAAAAAAATAAATAAATAAATAAAACTGGTGAACAATGGTAGCATTGACTTTCTAAATAGCCTGCAACCACTTAGAATTAAAGTCAGAAGTGCACAGAGAAGAACAATAAGAAATAATGATTGGTGGGGTCCGTGGCCATGCTACACAAAAGTTTCATCATCGGAGAACAAGGCTGAGCCGTCGCTCATTTAACAGAGATAAGATAGGGCCGAGCGCACGAATTACAGCTCGCTAAACACCCCACAATGCCTATCACCACGTGATTCTGTCAGTAGAGAATCGGCGTCACCCTAGCCGCGAGCTCGCAACTTTGTATGCAGCTGGGTTTTACATCCACGACGAACCACCCCTCGCCAACACACATTTCAGCCTTTGGGTTCTCATCATTTTCAATATACGTCTTGCGCGAACTCGTCTCCATGTAGAGTTCTATTGGCGCCGGCATTTCTTCACCTGGTGTAAGTCTTTTTCTCGGCGATGATGTCGCGAATTGCTTCTGCCATTCACCCGTTCTCCTGATCTCTTGGAGGCGCCTTCCGCCAACGCGCATGACAACCATTAGGTTTCCAGCCCATGAGCATACCTGATCGTGAAGCGTCCAGGATCATGATTCTGACATATCATGACACCACTGTTCCAAATGAAACAACCTACTAACGAGCACCTGGTTAGAACAGAATGAACAGCCAGAACCTTGGCCCTGCAGTATACGATCGAGATCGCGAGATGGAAGAACGACACCGAGCTTTACAGCAACGCGAGGAGATGGCCCGTCGGGACCAAGAGAGAGAACGTGAACAGCGCGATAGAGAGCGCGACCGAGATCGAGAGTCCAACGAACGGTACCAATCTACACCTCACCATAGCAGCGCTGGCTCCATTCCCATTCACCAGCCGGTCGCGTCGCGGATCTCTGGCGCAATTCATAGTCCTGGTGGACTTCTTGCGAATCACAATGGAAATCCTCAAATTCCCCTCGGTAACCCACCAGGTCCTCCTCCCCTGGCCGCCTTCGGAGGGCCACTCCAGAGCGAGCACAACCGACCGGTCCAACACGGTGGATCAAATAATAGCAATACACAACCACAAATGTTCGCGCCGATGCCGCACGGAGGACCGCCGACATCGACACAAGCTGCTGCCAACAGTGTCGCGGCTGTGTTTGGCGGTCCTTTGCAGCAACAGCCTCCGGAAGGCCAGCGTGGGGGCCAGCAGGGCGCGCCGTTTAACCCAGCTGCTGCATCGGCAGCTCATCAGCTTCCTGGGGGAATTACCCAGGGGCAGCAACCTATTCTGAATGTAAGTTCCATGCAATGTATTTACTTTTGCGACGGGATGTTGTCATTGGAGGGGTACGAGCAACCTTGCGCACGTCGCAGCCACCCGCTAAGTTTGCGTTTGCAAGCTGGTGATGCGACAGCGCGGGCCGCTGTTAAACCACCCACAAACCTTTTGCCTTACCTTTCTATCCAACCCAACTCCATCTACCCCTCTTCTGATTTCTCCAAATTACCTGACGGCTCTCGTGTGAAACATTTACAAATCCTCACATTTTGTTTGCCTAGTGCCCGTTTTCTTGTTTCTGCAGATATTCTCCAACATGGAGCCTCATGCGCTCCTGGCAAGCCTTCCGGCAAACCCAGGCGACCTTGTTGGTATCTTCAACCATGAAGGAGAAGGCATGGCGCTTTTGCATGGACAAGAATCCGGTGTACCTTTAGCCTACTTTACTCTTATTGTACAACACATGTTTCCTACTGGGATCGCTTGACACATGATTACTGACTGCTTGTCTCTCCAGGATGCCCTCACCTACCTCGACCAGGTCAAAGTCCAGTTTCACGACCAACCAGACGTCTACAACCGTTTCTTGGACATTATGAAAGACTTCAAAAGTCAGGCGTACGTCACTGATTGAGTCGCCACGTTTGCGGCGATCACAGCTAACGAAAGGACAGTATTGATACGCCAGGGGTGATCAACCGAGTATCGGAGCTCTTCGCTGGGCATCCAAATCTTATACAAGGTTTCAACACTTTCTTACCTCCCGGTTATCGTATTGAGTGCGGCGCTGGCAACGACCCGAATACAATCCGAGTCACCACACCTATGGGTACCACAGTTCAGTCTATCACAGGACGCGGGAACCAGGGCGACGGTCACGGTCCTGCCACAGCTAATCAGCCCTTGTTTCCCGAACGAGGTAGCCAGTGGCAGCAACAGAGACCCCAGCACAGCATCGAGAGCCCGGAGGCACAGTTTAGCACGCCTGTTCAGAATGGCGCAAGTCTCTTTGTTCAAGCTGCAGCCCACAATGCTGCTTTCAACGAGAGCAACAATTCGGGTCAGCGACGTGCTCTGCCTCAGGGAAGCACAGGTCCAGGGGATGGGCCAAATGCCCGCCAGGCCTTGACGCCCACCCCTTCCGGACAAGCTGCAGTAAACGGCAATGCAGCAAGTCAGGCAAACATGGAACGACGGGGTCCAGTTGAATTCAACCATGCTATCAGCTATGTGAATAAGATCAAGGTAAAACCCATCGCTCATGTTCCAGCTTCTTAAAGCGTCAGATGTACTAATCATGGCAAAGAACCGTTTCCAGGACAAGCCTGAGATTTACAAACAATTCCTTGAAATCCTTCAAACCTACCAGCGCGAACAAAAGCCTATCCAGGACGTATATGCGCAGGTTACCACACTGTTCAACTCTGCTCCTGACCTACTCGAAGATTTCAAGCAGTTTCTGCCAGAATCAGCTGGACAGGCAAAGCAGACTCCCAACCGAATGGACGACGGGCCCCCATCTGGTCCCAATCAGACACCACAGCCTGCTATGAGAGATGGACAAAAGATGCCTCCTCTCGGTAGCTTTGCGCCGCCCGCTAGCGCCACCAAAGACAACAAGAAGCGGCCACGAGCTGACAAGCAGGCCACTCAGCCTGCAACTGTTCTTGCAGACGCGACCCTAATTACGCGGACCCTCCCTCCTATTGCGAATGGTCATAAGAGGCCTAAACTCAACCATGCCAGACCAGGAGGTGACAATTCAGCAGTTGAACCAACTTTGACGCCGGTTATGCCGGAGCCCTACCCTTCTAAACCCTCCTCGACATCTAGCCAGGAGGAGATTGCCTTCTTTGAACGCGTCAAGAAGTTCCTTAGCAACAGATCTTCCATGAATGAATTCTTGAAACTTTGCAACCTCTTCAGTCAGAACATCATCGATCGAAACACATTATTTCACAAGGGCGCGCTGTTCATCGGCGCAAACCCCGACTTGATGAACTTCTGGAAGACTTTTGTTGGCGTCGATACTCAAGATGTAATCATCGACAACCGTCCTGCGCCCCCGACAGAGAAGGTGTCTCTCAGCAACTGCCGTGGGTATGGACCTAGTTATCGATTACTTCCCAAGCGAGAGCGCCTCAAACCCTGCAGTGGCAGAGATGAGCTCTGCAACTCTGTCCTCAATGATGAGTGGGCTTCACACCCTACGTGGGCGTCGGAGGATAGCGGATTCGTTGCTCATAGAAAGAACCAGTTTGAGGAAGGCCTGCACCGCATTGAGGAAGAGCGTCATGACTATGACTTCAATATTGAAGCTAACATCAAGTGCATCCAACTTCTGGAGCCTATTGCTCAAAATATGCTCGCCATGTCTGCTGCTGAAAGGGAAACATTCCAGATGCCTGTTGCACTCGCCGGACAAAGCACGTCTATTTTCAAGCGCATCTGCAAGAAGATTTATGGTGATCGAGGTATCGATGTTGTTAATGACATGTTCACCCATCCTTTCGACGTCGTGCCTGTTCTATTGGCTCGTATGAAGCAGAAGGATGAGGAGTGGCGATTCTCCCAGCGAGAATGGGAGAAGGTGTGGCACGCCCAGACCGAGAACATGCATCTCAAGAGTCTGGACCACATGGGCATTCTTGTCAAGCAAAACGACAAGAGGCATTTGACTGCAAAGCACTTGGTCGATGTCATCAAGACAAAGCATGAGGAACAGCGTCGCGAGCGATCGTTGAAGTGTGATGTTCCTCGACATCAGTTCAGCTGGGACTTTAGCGACAAGGAGACAATTATTGATCTTCTCCGCCTCATGATGTTGTACAGCCTGCACAATGGCCAGCACAGCAGCCAGGAAAAGGAACGCATTCTCGAATTCTTCGAGTCATTCATCCCTGCCTTCTTCGATATTTCCGAGGAAAACATTCTGGATAAGCTTCCCAAGATGCAGCCAGATTCTGGCGAGGACGAAGTGGAGGATCACACGCCTGCAGAGCTAACCAACGGCCGCAGCCGACGTAACGGTCGAAAAGGAGATCTGCTTAGAGGAGTTCTTGATCCTGGTCGTAACGGCAGCAAACCCCGCGGACATAAGGAAGACAGCGCCTCTGGAAGCAAAGAGACAACGCCTGATGTTACCTCAGCGAACGAAGAGGAGATGCCCGATGCTTCCGATGACGTTGCCAATACTGACGTCTCCAACGAGCGCTGGATACCCAATATCCCCAAACCCGTTGTTGTTGGTCAGAGCGACGAGATCCTGAACACTGAAGGCGAGCTGAAGGCCGA